CCCTCTCTGTATTTTTTTCCCCCAATTTTGACTACAATACACCTAGAATTTTATAATCGAAGAAAAGAGTTATTATAAAGACAGGTTTTTCTTCCTTTAAGCAGGCACACAGGGAATGTACTGAAAATAATCCAGTGATTTGAGGTCAGGGCTATTTATTCTATTGCTGCAGTGCCACAGAACTGTTTGACTTTTTCAGGTGGAAATGACCATCTGGTCAAAGTTTGGGATTATAATGAAGCTGAAGTGACTCACGTCGGGGTGGGACACAGCGGTAACATTACCTGCATCCGGATAAGTCCAGGAAACCAGTACATTGTTAGTGTAAGTGCTGACAGAGCCATTCTGAGTTGGAAGTACCCCTTTGCCTCATAAGCTGCAGGCACATCCTGGGTGCCGGGCGCTGCCCACAGTTCTGTTGAAGGCTGAATTTCGATAACCAAGAATGCTCTTTGATTTCTTACCTCTGTTTTTGTTCTTTAGTGAAAATATTTTATCTGTGAGTTTCTCCTTTATGGAATGCATTGCACTCTTGAATTGTATATTAAAATTCAAATGTGTTCAAGGATAATTTGTCCAGACTGTAATTAAAAGTTTATTATGAATAAATCCCCAGTTGTTGGTTTCCTGTTACATCTCTCTTCTATGACTGGAAACCCCACAGCCTTTTCTCAGTATTTGTCCACAGATATCATTGCTGTCACTCTCTTAAAATTAGAATGGTGAGTTTACCTTCTTTCCAGCATTTCACTGATCATTTCTCTGATCAGTACATTCCCTGTGTGCCTGTTTAAAGGAAGAAAAACCTGTCTTTATAATAACTCTTTTCCTCGATTATAAAATTCTAGGTCTATTATACTCAAAATTGGGTTTGAATAATGTATTAAAGCATCAGCAGAATTCCTGACACAGCAGAGAGTTAAACATGAATTACGGTGTTTTCTCAAAGAAAAGGTGTGCTGTTGGGGAGCTTGGCATGATTATCAAAGATGAAATTTAAGAGATGCTTTTCTGAAGTCTGCCATAAAATTTCCAGTGCTTACCATCAGAAGGTCATGAAAGGACCTTGTGCATTCAACCAGGTATCCTTTTCCAGAGAGGGAAAATTTTGGCTTTTTCTAGAAACACTTCAAGTCTCCAATTCACAGGGCAATCTTTCATTCTAAGCATCTGTAGCCTTTAACTCGTGTTCTTGTTTGCATTAGGTAACCAGCTGCTGCCCTATTTGACATATCAAGGCAGGTATTTAAAATGATGATCACTTATTTATCAAGTAATAAGTAACATTTCAGAGCATTGATGTAATAATGCAGCCCACTGATCTATTTTTTTTTTTAGCTAGAAATTGATGATTAATTCGTTTTGCAAGTCTTTACGGGATTCACCATGATAGAGTGGAGGTCCCCAGAGTTAACCCAGGGAATCAGGGGCGGGGCCAGGCCAAGGCAATTCTGATTGGGCAGCAGTTCCGCAAAGATTGTGCTTTAAGTAGTGAACGAGAGACTTGAGAGACCTCGCAGCGGGCACGCCTGAGAGCCGGGAAACTTCCTGGTAAGCAAGTACTGAGGTTGGAAAGTGCCAACCTCTAAGGCTGATAGTCCACTGACCTGGGTCGAATTCCGGTTTCTCTGCTGTCGGGACTGTGGCCTCGGATACGGTGCGTTTACCTCTCTGAGCCCGCCTTCCCGCCAGTGAAAGCGACGATGACCGGTCTCACTTGCAAGTTTTGGGAAAACGACTTTAACCTCGCCTGTAGGTTAACCAAGCAAACCGCAGCCATCCCGGGTGTTTCATCACAGGGCGACACACGGCTCCGAGGTCTACACTCAGGATGCTGGGTCCGGGCACAGGCTGCCTCCCCTACTAGGCAAGAAGGGCTTGGAAGGAGGTGGCGCCACCTGTCCTCCCACACCTGAGCCTGCGTAGGACCCAAAGCGGCGCAAAATCGCTCCCCACCCCCTCCCCTGCTCCCAGCGCGCGCCTCTCACCACGTCGGAGGCTGCCCTTTGGAGAGTCTTCCTGTCCTTTGTCTTCACAGTCACCTCGAACTCGGTAATTACAAGAAACTTAGAAATAGCCAGGGCTTTGCCATTTACTAGGCGCTTTCAAATTTATCATCTATTGTTTCCACAGCTTGAAGGCTGGGAGAATAGGAGCAGAGGTTAAATTCAGGTCCTTGGGCTTACGGAGGTCAGAAAGGGTGGGGAACGTGAATCCGGCGGTTCCCAGTGCCCGCACCCCAGTCGGCGCGGCTGTGTCCCCGGCGGGCGAGGGGCGCTGCCCTGGGGCGGGCCCTGAGGCCCGATTCCCGCGCGGGGCGGAGCGACCCCGCCCGTGGCTCCGCCTCCGCCTGGTCCCGGCACACCTGGCCGGCAGGTAGCTGGCGCCCGGGCGCGGTTCTGAGGCTGTCGGGGTCTGCGAGCGGCTCGGCCCGTCCGCCTAAGGGAAGCACGGCAACGGAAGCCATGGACCCCGGCCTGGGGGCTCCGGCGGCAGCGGAGGGGCCGCTCGCACCCCGGCACCGCCGCCACCACCGCCCCCTGCGTCGCCTGATCAGCCGCTTCCTGCTGGAGCTGGGCAGCCGCTCCCGCCCCGGGGACTCGCCGCCCGGGCCGCAGCCCCAGTCCCAGCCGGGCCGCTGCGACGGCGACGGTGAGGGGGGCTTTGACTGCGCCCCGGGCCCAGCTTTAGCAGCGCCTGGGAGCCCCGGGGAGGAGAGCCCGCCGGGACACCAGCCCCAGCGCCCCGCCGGCGACGGCGCGCGGCCCCCTGGCGCGCAGGGCTTAAAGAACCACAGCAACACCTGTTTCATGAACGCCGTGGTGCAGTGTCTCAGCAACACCGACCTCCTGGCGGAGTTTCTGGCGCTGGGCCGCTACCAGGCGGCGCCGGGCCGCGCCGAGGTCACCGAGCAGCTGGCGGCGCTGGTGCGCGCGCTCTGGACCCGCGAATACACGCCCCAACTTTCCGCGGAATTCAAGGTAGGCGGCACGCTGCAGACGGCCGCCCTCGCCGCTAGGCGGCGGTCTTGTTCCGGTCCTTCTGGTTTCGCTTCTCGGAAAGAGTGCTCCATCAGGAAAGGGGTTTTCTTGGGGCCTTCTTTAGGTGGCATTTGCCAGTTCATCCTCAGGTTACTGCCTTTGTCTTGAGTTGACTTGTGCAGTCGCTTGTCCATGTTTTCCTTATAACTCTCTCCCAGGTATTTTGAGGGGGGTGAGTAGATTTGAGTGGGTTCAGCATTTTTGCATTCAGCAAACATTTTGTTGAATGGCCTTTGCGGCAGGCAGAGTTCTAAGGCCAGGCATAGTTTCTTTGCAGTTTGGAGGGATGTGATGTGGGAAGTCTGACTTTGAAGGCCAAGACCTGGGAGAAAGGAGGTGATGCTTGCGTTGAGATCCGAATGATGAAGGTTGCAGCCAGGTTGAGATCTAGGAATAATCCAGATAAAGGGAACAGCGAGTACAAAGGCCATAGGCCTGCAGTAGCTGGGAACAGAAGGCACGGAAAGAAAACTAGTGTGGCTGGAGCCCAGGAGGGTAGAGTGGGGCGTGGAGGTGTTGGTCAGGTCGCGCAACGGCTTGGAAGCAATGGTAAGGAGTTTAGATTTTATTTTAAGCCCAGTGGAAACAGGACTGGTTGCCCAGGTACTGTGCTGAGCGCCCAAGAGAGACAGTGGGTGAGCTCCATTGGAGATGGCATTCTTTTTGTTTAGTGTGCGTGAAAACTCCTGCGATGCTTTGGCCTGGTGGTGCTACCACAGTCCCCAGGGTCGCTGTCCACTTACTGGCTTGCTACAGGGTCATGAGGATTTGGACGTTATGTGTATCACTTCATCCAGGGTTAAATCAGGGTGTTTGGGGTCCCAGTTAAAGAGTTCCTGATAATTGATGCGCTGGGCTGGCTTCCTGCTAAGAAGACCACAGCTCTGGACAGAGAGCTGAAGCTCCCTGCAGACTAGTGAGTGATGTTCTTGGGCGAGGGGGAACCTGTCAGTGTTCATTCCATAACCACCACCACTCTCTAGTTTCAGCCTGGGAAGCCAGTCCTTGCCACGTGACCCACAAGGGTGACAACCTCTATTTTCCTCCTGTTTCCACTAGGGAAGCACTGTTCAGCAAGAGTCGGTGGGTCAAATAGGTGTCATTAGTATCTCTTTTTGGCAACATTTGCTTTTTAAATGTGAAAGGCAGTACACTAGTCCCTGCTTATCTAAGGGTCATACGTTCCAAGACCCCCAGTGGATGCCTGAAACCAAAGATAATACCAAACCGTATTCACACCCTTTTATCCTATACCTACATGTACCTATGGTAAAGTTTGATTTATAAACTAGACATGGTCAGAGATTAACAACAATAACTAATAATAGTACAACTATAACAATATATTATAAAAAGAGTTATGTGAAGATGGTCTCTCTCAAAGTATCTTATTATATTGTACACACCCTTCTTTTACGGATGTGATATAATAAAATGCCTACTTGATGAGGTCAAGTGAGGTGGATGATGAAAGCATTCTGACTTAGCCTTAGGCTACCACTGACCTGACAATTTGTTGGAAGGAGAATCATCTGCTTCCAGACCTAAACCGCAGAAAGTGAAACCTCAGGTGGAATGGGGAGTGGTGGAGGATGGAGCTCTGGTGCATAGCACAGTGGTTAACTGCAAGGTCTCTGGAGCTTTGTGACCTTGAGCAAGTTCTCAAATCTCTCTGTGCCCAACTTTCCTCATCTGTAAAATGGGACCATAGTGGTACCTACCTTATTATAAGGTGTTTTTTTTTTGTGAGGATTAAATGACTTATAGGTACAGCACTTAGAATGGGCCTGGTCCTTAAGAGGTATTTGTTTTTCCCATTATACCTGCTCACCTGCAGAGACCCAGAGCAGGGAGAGAGGTCACCTCTATGTGCTTCTTCCCATGCCAGGTACATGCTCATCTGATTACTGCATCGATAGGAGAGGCAACAGTAGTTTTAAAAAATCTTCCAAATCAGTAATCACCTTCGGTGACTCACCAAGATTTCCTACCTCACTCCTGCTCTTAAATCTCTAGGGCCTGGGAGTCTTGGGGAATTGAAGGATTATCTAGTTGTGAATATGTTAACAAGAGTGATATTATCTGGGGTTTCCTGGACTTTTGGGGTAGCCAGCCTTGGAGGGAGTGGAGGATCCGGAATCTGGGCTTTTAAACCCTGCTGATTGAAATCTAGGTGGGCTCTTCTTATTTTACAGATTAGGAAACATTCATTCATCCAACACATACTTCTCGAGTGTCCAGACACTGTCCTGGGAGCATGCAATACTCGAGAAATACAAAACCGGAACCTGTGGCTGCTGTCCCAAGTTTATAGTCCAGCCGGAGGGATGGATGGACATTAATGAGAGAATCACACAGGCATGGGATAAGAGCTGGTGACAAGCGCAAGGCAATAAGAAGTCAGGGTGCTCTGGCAAGGCTGGTAGGAAGGTGTGATTGATTGAGGCAGGTGCCCCCTCACCCAAGTTGTCCCAGAAGAGGTGACCATGGAGTTGAGTTCTAGAGGATGAAGGGTCAACTAAGTGGGAGGGTAAGGAGGTGGGGCTGAGGGGGGGCCCCCTGCTGGTGGTGCAGAATAAATGACTGATGAAATGAATTAATGGAAGCCCATGTGGCTGTGGGAGGAGCTGAAGAATTGACTGAGGACAAGCCACATAAGGTTTTCTTAAGGAGTTTGGTCTTCAGGAGGGATTACTGGCTTCAGACAGAGGAAGACAGGAAACTGAGAAGGGATCTCCATGCTGGAGTGAGTTACCCCCATCCCAACCAGGCAAATGGAGTGGGTTGTGGTGTCTCCCCTTCCTGAGCCTGGTGCCACCCAGTCTCCCAAAGGTGGTAGGTCCACTATCTGTTTTAACAACAAGTGAACGAATACATTTTAAGAAGTCCTGTCCATGGGATTGTCTATAATACTTTGCTTTTCTAATGATGTAACTAAATATGCGTATAGTATACAAAATTGGAAAGTGCTAAAATGTAAAAAATTGATCTGGAACTCCACCTTCTAGAGATAACCATCATAAACATATTGATGTATTTCAAAGCATGTACAAACAATTGGAAATTCCGGTTTTCTATCCTGCTTTTTTTACTGAAATATTTTCATAAGACTTTTTCTTGGCATTAAATATTCTGTAAAATTTAATTTTTAATGCCTTGAAGTGAAATTGCATGGTGAAAGCAAAGATATGACCATTTTATTATTTTTTATGTTTTTTGCTTTTTAAACCAACTTTATTGAGGTATAAATTATGTACAGTGAAAATGAGTTATATCTGACATACAACACTGTGTAAGTTCAAGCTGTACAACAGTATTCACTGGATGCATTTTTATTGTAATATGATTGCCATAGTTAGCATCAGCTAACATCTTATTGTCTCACATAATTATCCTTTCTTCTAGTGTTGGGAACAATTAAAACCTAGTTTCTTAGCAAGTTTAATGTTTATAATACAGTTTTGTTGTCTGTAATCACTATATTATGTTAGGTCTCCATGTCTAATTACTTACTAGTTGCAAATTTGGACCCTTAAACATCTCCTATCCCCCACCCTCCAGCCCCTGAAAACCACCATTTTACTCTCTGCTTTTCGATTTTGGTTTTCTTAGATTCCACATATAGTGGATATTCTATAGTATTTGTCTTACTCTGACTTCTCTCACTTAGCATCATGACCTCAAGGGCTATCCACGTTGTTGCAAGTGGCAGAATTTCCTTTTTTCTCATAGCTAAATAGAAATGCACTGATTTGAAGTGTAGAATTTGATGAGTTTTGATGTGTGTGTACCTAATAACATCCTAATTCAAAATGTTTATCATTTTTTACTTTTAAAATCAACTTTATTGGACTTGATTATTTTTAACACCTGCCTTGACAAATTCCTTTCCAAATAATTACATCAAGTTTCAGGCACACCAGTAATATATTTTTTTCCTGAGTGTTTGGTATCCTTATTTTAAGTTTATTGAACAAAAAGAAAACGTCATTTTTGTTTCTTTGATTAGGAGTGAGGTATAGGATTTTTCCATGTCTCCTCCCCGGGTGTAAAACTGCTCTTGGAATTGTCTGTTCATTCTGCTTTGGTCTTGGTGTTCTCTTTACTTATTTCTATATGTTCCTCCACCCTTGTCGTATTTGCTGCAGATATTTTCACCGAAGTCTCTTATTCTTCTCCCTATGCAGATACTGGGAGTTTTAGGTCTATTTATATTATACCTTTTAATAATATTCGGTCATGCATTTATAGTTTTCCTGTGGTTATATTAAGGATTTCAGCCATCTGGAATTTATCTTAGCTTATGTACATAAGGATCGGTTTTAGCCCTACAATTTTAGGCATACAGAATGCTCAAGTGGTAGATTTAGAGGCATTGTTTTTAAAAATAAGGATGCCTTCTTCATCACTCTTAGGTTTTAGAAGTTCTGGACAAAACAGTAAGACGTGAAATGGAAGTGAAATAAAAAATACTGAACAGAAAGAAAATTACTAAATGGTTCCAGAAATTCATATTTTAAAATTCTTGGTGTCACTGATGAGGTCAGATACAAGATAGAAAATCAAAAGCAATAACCACCTGGAATATATAAAAATATGATTTCATTCACAGAAACAACCAGAAATATGAAATAACTGGGAATAATTTTAGTATAAAATATTTAAAAAATTATCAGTGTTGTCAAGGAGGAAAAAAACACACACATGGATAGAACTGTGCCGTGTGGCAGGGTAGAAATACCAAATATATTTCCATTCATCCCTCCCAAGTGAGATTTAGCTTTAATGTAATTGTAACATACTAGTAGACTTTCTGTGGGTATGTCTTTTGCAGGAATCAGTAGGTAAAGTTATTTTTTTTTAAATGCCAAAACTCTGTAAAATACATCAGGTCGTGTTATAATTGGAAAAAGGTAATAAAGAACAATATTCACTGTAAAAAATCGGCAGTGTACTTCAATAGATGAATGGATAAATAAAAGGTGGTATGTATATTTCCAGTGGAATATTACTCAGCCATAAAAAAGAATGTAGTCTTGCCATTCATGACAACTTGGATGGACCCAGAGGTCCAAGAGAAACAAGTCAGAGAAAGAGAATTACTATGTGATTTCACTTACATGTGGAATCTTAAGAATATAAAAGAAATGAATAAGCAAAACAGAAATAGACCCATAAATACAGAACAAATTGGTGGTTGCCGTGGTGTAGTTGGGGCAAGGGCAATGTAGGTGAAAGGGATTAAGGGGTACAAACTTCCCATTACAAAATAAATAAGCCACGGGGTTGAAAAACACAGCATAGGGAAATATAGTCAGTAATATTATAATCACTTTGTATGGTGACAGAAGATAAGTACATTTATTATGGTGATCATTTCATAATGTATGACTGTTGAATCAATTTGTTGTACATCTGAAACTAATGTAACATTATATGTCAACTATATTTAAATAAAAAAGATTTTTGCAATGTACAAATGAAAATGAAAAAAAAATTATGGTCCTATCCTTCTATGACAACTGTTGGTTAATATTTTGCCCTATATTTTTAAGTCTTTTATCTTCCTGTCTATAAATGTATTTTAAACATCTCAAGTATATAGTTTTACACAGTTTTTTTTTAAATGACAGGATCATTTTTTTTTCCCCTCATTTCCTCAGGCATAACTTTTAAGGCCATCTGAATGCGCCATAAGTGTCCCTCAGGTAACTTTGATACATAGAACTTTGCTTGTATTTTTCATTTCCTTAGGCTAAAGCCCCCAAAGTAGAATTACTGTGTTTATGTAAAAGGATATTTTTAATGCCCTATCTTGTCGATCTTTTTGAAGTTGTCAGATTCTTTCTTTATAGCGAGGCTCAGATGAAGAGAGTGGCAGTCTTCAAGGATCAGCATGATTAGCAGGAGGGGGTTGGATTTTGCATGAAAGAAAGAAAAAGTAAAGGTGTGGATTCTACATGTGGGAACACACATGTGGGGCACCTGAGTGGTTCGATGGCGTGGGGCTTTGAAACACAGAGAGTGGTGAGTGACACGGATGGGGCCGGAGCAGAGAGGAAGCCTGGATTGTTAGGTGGCAGGAGTCAGGGTTTGGAGGAGGGCATGCCGTTATCCAGCTGTTCTGGAGGGAAACGGGTCTGCTTTACCGTGCAGACAGTGGGTTGGCAAGGGGACAGTCTTGGGTCCGGGCACCTTTGAAGGTGAGTATTGTCATTTGGGTGAGCAGTTGTTATACTCCACGGTGGGAAGGGGTTTTACTGAAGGGGTCAAGGCGAAGACAAATCGGGAACCCAAATCCAGATGGCTTGACAGCTGACTGATGTGGGTGGAGAGAAAATGTAAAAGAGGACTGATGTTAGGAGGAAGCAAGTGCTAATTTTAGAGATTTTGAGTTGGAGGGACTGGCTGCTCCCCAAGGAAAGAATGTTGGTACTAAGGATACAGGCTTGAGGAGGACTAGGAGTTGGGTTGCTGGTGAAATAGACAATGTTCAGTTAAATTTGAAGTTCAGATCAACAATGAGCAACTTCTTAGAATAACCATATCCCAAATATTGCATGGGACAAATTTATACTAAGAACATTCATTGTCTATCTGAACTTCAAATTTCACTGGGCATCTTGTGTTTTTATTGGCTAAATCTGGCCAAGAAAAAACACAAGACCCTACTCTGCACATCAAAGTGCAGAGAAGCTTGGTAGGAAAATCCAAACTAGATTCCCTAGTGAACCCATACTAGTGTGATTGGAATAGACTCAGAGCCAGTATTTCAATTAATTAAATCTTGACTTTTCCTTCATCTCATCTGAAAGTTTCCTTTAAATCCCAAGAGAAGGTTAAAAGAAAGAAAAACAGCCCAGGCTATTTGATTTGATTGGTGGTGCTGAGGATTATCCGGGGGCCATAGCCTGGCTTACACTGTTCCCTGTGGGCATGAGAAGAGAACAGATCTGTGTGGAACGAGGCTTGAAGCCTGGCTCTGCAGTGTAAGGATGGGACAAGCCACTGTCACGTACTGTGTGCAGATCATACTCGCTTACTCCCAGAAGCTCAGGTGCATGGGACAGTTGCTTGAGAAACTAGTAAGCCTCCCTCTGGGGAGGGGCATCCAGGCAGGGAGGGCTGGGCAGAAGGCAGACTCTTCATTGTCATCCTTCTTTATATTTTGAATTTTTCATAAGTATGTACCTATATTACCCTTTGAAATAAACTTTAAAAAATGGGAATAAGCATTTACAGAGAAAATGACAAAACTGTTCCACCGTTTAATAGGCGGAGGGCATGTAAGTGCCATGAGAGCAGGGATTCTTGTCCGTCTTGTTTGTTGTGTCCTCGTCCCTAGAATAGTATCCGGCAACCTGGTAGGCACTTAGTAGGAATGAAGGACCAGCTCAACCATCTTGTGATCAATCACAGAAAGAGAAGTTTGTACTTCTTTGATTTCATGCATATTGGGAAGAGGCAGGAAGGGGGGTACATGCTTGGTATTCAAGAATGTCCACTTCACTATGAGAGGGTGAATGAAACCACTGAGGGAGAGACTTGGGCAAGGGGCTGCACCCCTGTGGGGCAGACAGAGAGAGACAGCATAGACAGAGACTGGTGGAGGCAAGCCTGGGAAGCTCACCCCCCAGTGATCAATCAAGGGACAAGAGCTGTTGGGAGGGCAGAGGTCAACAGCATCCCCACATTCAACAGAGAACCGTGTGGGTTTTCAAAAGCAGGACATACATTAACAGTCTTTCTTGGGGTAGGGGAAGGTGCTCTGTCCTATACAGAAAGCCCTTAAAGCGTTTGGGGATGCTACCCAAAAAGAGCTGGCTTCAGCAGGGAATATCTCACTGCATGCTGTTACAGGCAGTCATTCCAGGTTGGGGCTGAATGGTGACCACTGGTAGACTTGGTGCTTATAGGCCCCTATTTGGTTGTTGGAAGGGTCACACTGACCCTCTGGCATTATTTCCTCCCTTTCAGAATGCTGTTTCCAGGTATGGCTCTCAGTTCCAAGGCCATTGCCAGCACGACGCCCTGGAGTTCCTGCTCTGGTTGCTGGATCGTGTGCACAAGGACTTGGAGAGCTCCTGCCGAAGGCCAGTGCCCGAGAAGGTCAGTCCCTCTGCAGGAGCACGTTGTATTTGATTTTCTTGTTTTCACTTGAATGTATACTCAACTCCTCAAAACTGGATCTTGAAATTCAGATTCTCAGATTCCCGTGTGTCCTGGCTGCTGCATGCCCAGCGCTGTTCCGTACTCCTTTTTCTTAGCTCTGTTGTACACACAGCATGGCGGTATTTCTCTCCCTCTCTATTCCGAGTAATAGAGTGAATAGGGTTTCCTTTTGGCTTCAAGTTGGAAAATCACCTAATTGTCTGTATTCTGTGCATTAGAATGGTCCTCTGAGGCCATTGAGTACCGTTCCATCATTTTCTGATGGTACCATTTTAATGCTACCATTGTGTTCTCAGGTATATATCCTACAAAATCCCCAGTATTTTCTCTCAGGACACAGGTGATGGGTGACCTTTATGTGTGTGCACTTAGCATTCCCAGATTTTGGTGAAACGTTTGGGAGTAAGAAAACACCACCATCATTTGGAGTAGCCACAGTTAATTGATTTATCAGTGATACATGTTCTTTATGGGCTTTGCCAAATAAAGATCCGTGCTGGGTTCTGCTCTACTGCTATCCTTTAATCTCTCACTTAAGAAAGTAAGAGTGAGTGAAGTTATTATACCACAAGTGAGCAAAGTTCTTGAAACAATATCCACTTAAGTAATTTAAGTGTGTTTCACAAGCTTTGATAGTTAATCACATATTATTTCTGATGTGTCTCAAAATTAATCCAGGTGCAGCTCCAAGAACAGCTTTACCAGGCTTTTCTTTTGTTTGTTTTAAATCTGGACACTTTTTTCCCCAGCCCTGTTGTGAATCAACTAAAAAATGCTTTGAAAGTGTGTAAGTCCTTCAGCTGTCACTTTCCTGTGTGACACTTAGCTTAGTGCCCATGACTCTAGAGTAGACGAATGAATGGCAGCTGCACGTGGGTGGGATGTAACATGCAGCCTGATCACTACGGTTAATAGTGCTGTACCGAGTACTGGGGATCTGCTAAGAGAGTAGATTTGAGGCACTCTCGGCACACGCACGAAAAGGTAACTATGAGAGGAGATGACATACTTGTTTGATTGCAGGAATCATCTCACTCTGTATGTATATCAAATTAACATGTTGCATACCTTAAATATATGCTATTTTTTTTTAAAATGAATGTCTCAGGAAGCTTTTTAAAAAAACTTGTCCATATAGCCTGCTATTATCTTTATTTCTTTGTCTCTTAAAGTGACAAGTTGTAATTTTAAGAAAAGGAGAACATAACCATATGTGTGTCAAATGAGCACAGACCTATTTTAAACAATATAATGTGATTAAAAGCTCAGAGTATGGCAGCCACACAAGCGGTCCTCACATACAACACAGGAGGAGGTGAGGTGCAGGGGACAAGGGAAGTAATGATTATACAGACTCTGTACTCCTTAGATCACCTTGTGGGCTGTTACATACAATACAGTATGATTGTCATTTACAGAGTGCTGCTAGGGTTATTATTCCTAGGTTATATACGGGTAATCCTAGAATCAGAGAGGTTGGGTAACCTTCCCAAAGCAACAGAGCTAAAGGGACCAAGTCAGGATTCAAGTCCAAGAGGGTCTAGCTTTAAAGCCTATTTTCTTATTTAAAAAAAAAAACCACCCCAGGCACCCCCAAAACACACAAATGAAACAAAAAAAACCGCACCACAACAGAACCTGGGAGGACCACACTTTCAAAGGTTACAGTGGTTTCTCTGGGTTGTGGGATAATGGGGGATTTTTCTGGTATGTATAGTGATTTTCTGTTTATCTTATTCAGACCCTTTTAGTTGCAAGTGACAGAAATATAACTTGATCTAACAAAGGAAAGGACATTTCTTGGCTTTTATAACTTGTAAATCCAAGGGCTGTTCCTGCTTTAGTTTTAGCTGTACCAAGGGCCTAGATGATGTCACCAAGTCTTCGGCTCTCTAGCTCTTGTCTCTGGCTTTGTTCTCAGGCTGCCTCTCCCCACATGGTGGCAGGAGGGGCCCCTGCAGTGCTCAGACAGTCTCCAGAGCTTGGGGTTCCAGACAAAGTCCACAGTGAGTGTTCCAGTGCTGTTCCCCTGTCCCTTGCTGGGCAGGTGGCCAGCAGAATGATATATTCCGATTGAGCACAGCTGGGTTGCATGTGTGTAGAGCGGGGAACTCCACCCAAATCATACAACCAAAGAGGGCTTTTATAGATTTGGGCCTCATTTCTTCTTCAGAGAAAGGAATGCTGATCAGATACACATGTCCACCACACTGTATATTCCATAATCTTCAAGTGAACACATTTTGAAATCATAATAATGTATTTTTTTTGTAAAGATACTCTTCATTGAATGTTATGTGTCATAACTGGATGCTTTTCATAACTTAATTTCACTACTCACGCATAAACTCTCGAATGGGGCTAATAAATTAAGGAGTTATCATGCCTTCATATTTGCAAGGACAGCTCATATTTTATAGTTCATGAAAATTTAAATTAAGTGAGTTGTCCTATGTTACTCACCTTCTACTCAGGGAAGTAGAATTGAACCTGAGTCTGTCTGTTTCCACAGCAGTGTGTGGGTCCCTTTCCTATCGTGACTGTCTTCCTGCTGGCCACACAGGGTAGGCCTCTTGTCCTGGTTCCCCCACCACCCTCCCTGGCTGTGCCAGGCAGCTCTTCCCATCTGGAGACTAAGAGGGATTGGCAGCCTTCTAAACTGCTTTTCAGTCTTCCTCTTCTGTCCCTTGGTGGCAGGAAAGGCATCGGCCATAAGGGTGAGGAGGGCCACAGAGAGTGTAAGTAACTTGCCCTGAGTCACACAGCAAAGCAGTGGGAGAGCCAGGATCCAAAGCTGGGAACTATGGCTCTAGAACAGGGTGTCAGCCTCAGCACTTTCAACATTTGGGGATGGGGAGTTCTTTGTCTTGTGCATTAGAACATTTGCAGCATCCCTCTGTCCACTGAATGCCAGTGGCCCCTGCAGCTGTGACTGATAAGAGAGTGTCTCCAGCCATTGCCAAGTGCCCCAAGGGGGGACAGAAGCACCCTTGGTTGAGAGCCACTGCTCTGTAGCCTTTGCTCCCAACTATGGTACATCCCCCTTCCACCCCAAGCTTCCTTTAAGATGGCACTGCGTCTATTTAAGCCAAGAGGGCCTGCCAATAATTCTCTCACAACTTCAAGACCCATATAAAAGCACCCATAATTGGTCTTCCAATTTCCACTGTGCCCCTTTACTATATGTATGTTCACACTGCAGCCAGAGTGACCTCTTTAGAAAGGGAGTAAGATCACAACTGGGCCTGCCAACCCCTCAGCCTCATTTCAGGCCCCTCTCTGCCCCTCGCTCATTGTCCCTGGCCACGCCAGCTGCTTCCTGTTCCTCTAGTGGGCCTGGGAGCCACCAGGAAGCCACAGTGGCCACGAGCCAGGCAAGAACGGCGGTGGGTGTGGGCCAGAGTGAGGAGTTTGCCTGGCTCTTAATTTTTGACCTGATTGAAGCCAAAAAAGATCTTTTACTCTGTCTGGGGTCAAAGCCCCTTCTGACATTTTCTCTCAGGCAACTGGGCTGCCTGTGGAGGCCTGGCTGTGAACACTTGAAGGTAAACAGCAGGACCATTAGGATTATTTGGTAGAAAAGTTCATTTTCCCCTTCCAAGAAGGGAAGGGGACTATCCTCTGTGTAACTCTGAGTGATTTTTCTCTTTGAGATTATTTCTGTTTCAAATCTATGAAAGCCACATAGCTAGATTTATTTGAAATGGGAAGAACCACTTTCTTCTCAGTTGTTGTAATGTTTTCATCTGGCCAAAAGGGTGTATTTTTACTGCCCTATAGACACCATCACACAAACGATCTTGTTGCTAATTTATCTTAGAGAGAGTGCTACTTGGGCAGAATTAAGAAAGGGATGAGGTTGGGGAGAGGACCAGGATGCTAACATTTATTAAGCACCTACTGTGTGCCAGGCAGGACATACACATCACCATGTTTTATTTTAATGATGGCTCCATGAGGTAGATGCCCTGCTTTTCCTTTTCGATGTGGAATGAAGCTCAGAGAGATTCAGGGTCACTTGGCCAGCAGAGCAGAGCCAGCCTGGTCTGACCTCACAGTCCATGCTTTGGGAATGACCCTCTGCTGCCTCTCACTGCAGCCTCGTTCTGGATTTTCTTCCCATACCCTGTCCCTGGGGACCCCTTCCCCTGCCACTCCCAGCGTGCTGCATCATCACCGTGATGTCCTAGCAGCCTGCAGTCAGTGTGAAGTCTCGGGTTGCAAGTAGCAGCAGTCATCTTCCGCTGACTTGGAGAAGAAGGGAGTTTATCAAAAGGCCAAGGCCAGCACACATGGTCCAAGGGAAGGCTGAAGCACCAGGCCTGGAACGGTTGAGAATCAGCTCCAGGCTGTGGTTGGCAGTGGCAGGAACTGCTCTGGCTCTCTGGCCTGGACACTGCTGCTAGAATCCATGTCTCGGCTTGTGGTCACTTTGTTCAGGATTCAAGTGCAGGACAGGCATGTCTCACCAGTCCACCAGGGGTCTTGGGCCTGACCCTTTGTAAGGGAGGGCAGGACCTCTGGTTAAAGAGCCTTGCCCGCTTCCCCATGGGCTGAATTCAGTGTTCGAAAGGGGTGCTTCTGCCAAAGAGGAGTGAATCCTGGGCAGCCACAAATGCCAGCATCCCCCCTGCCTCCAAGAGGGACGAGCTCTCTCTGCTGAGCCCTTGTCTGTTTGCTGTGAGGTGTCTCTGGGTGTTGATTGCCCTCCAACTCCGCAGGCCCTTTCCTGACCCACTTCTCCTTTTGATAATTTCCTCTTCTGCTGATGGAACGTTCTCCAGGCACCAGATTGGAAGCCTGGCGTTGGCCCTGTTTCTCTCCTCCCTCACTCTGTTCCCCAGGAGGTGTTGTTACGAGCTGCATACACGGTTACGTCTTGGGCCAATCCCTCCTTTTCATTTTCATGGTTCCTGGTCTAGTCTACCTTGTTTTAGCCTGATCTTCAAGCCTCTTCTCATTACAGACTTACCTCCTTGTGTGCTCATTCCAGACTTACCTCCTTCATCCTGTGCCTGGCTATCACGCTAAAGCATCACTCTGTGCATGTAGCTACCGCCTAGGTCCCAAACATCAGATACTCGCCACTGTGTAACCAGAACAAACATTTATGTAGTGCTCACTGTGTGCCGGCCACTCTTCCAAGTGTTTCGTGTATATTCACTGATGAAATGTCAAAAAATCCCTATCAGATAAATACTTTCATTCATGATCCCTTTATTACAGTTGGGAAACATTAAACAAAGAGATAAAGTAATTTATTTAGCTGAATCAGAGGCTGAATAACTCCCACAGATAAGTGGCAGTGCAGGGATTTGAACCCTGGCCATCCAATTCCAGGCTGTAGTTCTTAGCCCTGTTACTAGGCTGTGTCCTGACCCAGGTGCTCATCCTTAGGACACTGAGGGCTGCACCCAGCATGGCACCGGACTTGCTCTCCAGCCCTGTTTTCTACTTCCCTCTGCACATCCTGTACTCTGGTCAAATTGTGCTTCGTAAAATAGAAGGACAAGTAAGAGCAACCTTTCTGAGTATTTGTCACTCTTATTTATCCCACTGTTTTATCATGGAAAATTGCAAGCATATGGAAAAGTTGAATTAATTATACAGTGAACCTAGTTTCTATGATTTACATTTTAATAAAATTGCTTTACCACATTTATCCATCTCTCCATCCCTCTATTTACTCATCACTCTATTTTTTTCATCATCTTATTTTTAAATGATGCACTTTAAATTACATTGCAAATATTGGTATACTTTGTCCCAAACACTTCACATGCATTCCTTTTCCCGGCTCTTTGAAGATGCTGGCCTTGAAGACTGGAGCAGTGTGACCACAGACCGCAGAATTCCCACAGCAGCCAGAAACTGGAAGAGGCATGGAGTATATTCTCAAGAGCGTCCGGAAGGAGCGTGGCCTTGCTAACACCTTGATTTTGGCCTGGGGCACTGATTTGGGGTATCTGGTCTCGAGATGTGAGAGAGAATAGATTTCTGTTGTTTTAGGCCACTAGTCTGGGGTAGTTTGCCACGCAGCAAAGGGAACCGATGCAGAAGAGAACATGAGGAAGGCTCAGAAGGACTGATAAGTGAAGTGAAGGAGGTGTGTGCAGTGCACTAAGGGGCAAAGCCTGATTTGTCTGGGAAAAACAGCCCTCATGTGAAGACTGGCTCACGGGAAGATGTGGATGGGGATGATGGGAAGATTTGGTGCAATGTCTTTGAAGTGATGCTAGCATGCCCACGTGACATGTACAGGAGGTGTCCAGAAACACAAGCCCCAGCAGGATGGAGATGAAGGATGGGATAATGAGTCCAGAGGCGGTACTTCAGGCTGGGTGAGTGTGTGTGTGCATTCCCCAAGGTTCATGCTTCAGCTCTTTCAACACATTCTCTCTTAAGGAGGTCAAGTGAGTGGAGGAGCAGTGAATTATGGTAAAGGCAACATGAAGGTCCGGTTTCTGCCGAACCCAGGCCCAGTGAGGGGCGATGTGGTCCCAGGAGTAGGCCAGAGGCTCACTGGCCTGGACGTGCTGGAGTGATAGGAAATGTATCTAATTGTGCTTCCTTTCCTCATTTCTTTGCAGATTCAGCCTGAAGGCAGTAAAACCTCTGAAAACCTCCCATCGCCATCGGCTCAGCTTTCTCTAAGTCAGAGTTTTGTGCAAAGCCACTTTCAAGCCCAATATAGGTAAGAATATAGGTAAGAATGGACTGTGTTTAGAAGGTATCTCCCGAAGATTCAGCAAATTTGTATGCTGGCAACTAGCCTACCATTGACATAGTTACCCTGAGATCACAAAACAGCAACCCTCTCTTTCCCACAGACACCCTCTTTTTCCCATTACAGGCCCCAGTTAACCAGTCACTTCTGTCATCTCTGCCCTTTAGTATTTCTTCTAGCCTTCTTGCTGGCCTCTGGGCTTCCCATCCCCCTTGAAGGAGGTTCAATGCAAGGGTGGTTCTACAGAATGTAAATGTGGAGGCTGGGATCTATCAGCAGACAATCACTGAAAAGTTGGCCAGACCCTTCCTGTTTGTTCTTTATAGCCAGAGAGTCCAGTTTAACATGTTATCTCGAGCTCAAGATTTCCCAGCATTATGGAAAATATAAAAATATATATAATTACACACTTTGACTTCAGAAAAGTTCTCTTTGGGCTTTTATATATCAGCATTTCAGAGATTCATAGAAGGCAGACTTATTGTGAAGTAATAATGTTTTATTGAGAGTACTAATTGCAGTGAGCAATCAGAAAGGGGAGAAACGTCCCTGGGCTTCTTGGAGGAGGTGTGCCTTTTGACAGACTCTGAAGGATGAGTAGGATTGAATGGGTTAGAACATACTCAACAAGAATGAACCCTGCTTAGAGGTGGAAATGAGCACAATAATCAGGATTTAGGGAAGCCACTGGTTACAGAGTGTCCGTTAGGTGACATGCTCACCCCTACATTTTTTAATTTAATACTTACAAGAACCCCAGGAGGGGAGTTACAATCTCGGGTTGGTCTTTTCAGAGGACGCATAGCGAGGGCAAACCAGGGTTGGACCTTTGATAGATCTGTGAAGCACGAGGCCTGCTTCTGCTTTCTTTGGAATTCCTCTTCCGTTGCTGTTCCGTCTTGCCTTGTTCTTTTCCTGTGATTTTTCTGCTGTTACTTTAGTTGCTCAGAAACTCTGCCCTCTCATTCTTCATTATGGACACCAAAACACTTTCTATATTTTTCTTCTGGATGTTGCATTAGATCATTTTCAAAGGCACGCTTTTCTCTGAGTGTTTCATGTACTTTCACTTTTCCTTTGCTCTGCTGTGTCTTTCCTAAGTCTCCTGTTGTTTTTTTTCCTCTTATTTATATCAAATAAAATAACAGTTATTCAGTCTTCTGGCATTCACTTACTTAATGGCCATTTACTTCCATGCATTTTGGGCATTTGTATTCTTTGTATTTGAAAAGGAGGAGAAGACTTAAAATTGCCCAGAAAGTGACCTGATTTAGGATTTTTATGATTTTCAGTGATTACCAGTAAAAATAGTTGGATATGAGAAGGCTCTGTCATTGCCCAAGGAAATGCTCTCTTCACAGTGGAAAACACAGACCCAGAGTGCTACTGGCTTACAGATTGGATTGGGACTGTTCTTGTTCAGTCCTGGTATTCAATGAGTGGCTACAAATTCTACAGAGCAGAAAAAAATATTGGCCAAATATTCGTTAGAAACCTCTGGTAACTTAGATGGTCTGAAATACAAGTTACATGACTTTGGCTACAGAGGAGTCTCTTCTCAAGAGACTGCTGGCATAGGAGGGCCTGCTCACTTGGTTAACTTCAAAGGCTCAGACACAGTAGCGGGAATTGCCTTAATTAAAAAATACTATGGAACAAAAGATCCTATTGCAGGTTATTCTGTTGCAGCGGCAGAGCACAGTACCATAACAGTTTGGGGGAAAGACAATGAAAAAGATGCTTTTGAACATGTAGTAACACAGTTTTCATCAGTGCCTGCATCTGTGGTCAGTGATAGCTATGACATTTTTAATGCCTGTGAGAAAATATGGGTGAAGATCTAAGACATTTAATATTATCAGGAAGTACAGCTGCACCACTGATAATCAGACCCAATTCTGGAAATCCTCTTGGCACTGTATGAAAGGTTTTGGATATTTTAGGTAAGAAGTTCCCTGTTACTAAGCACTCAAAGAGCTACAAGTTGCTGTCTCCTTCTCTTAAAATTATTCAAGGAGATGGAGTAGATATTAATACCTTACAAGAGATTGTAGAAGGCATGAAGCCAAACAAATGGAGTCTTGAAAATACTGCCTTCGGTTCTGGTGGTGGCTTGCTTCAGACGCTCACAAGAGATCTCTTGAATCGTTCAAGTGTAGTTATGTTGTAACCAGTGGCCTTGGGATTAATGTCTTTAAGGACCTAGTTGCTGATCTCAACAAAAGGTCCAAAAAAAGGCCGATTATCTTCACATAGGACACCAGCAGAGAATTTTGTTACACTTGAAGAAGGAAAAGGAGACCTAGAGGACTATGGTCCAGATCTTGTCCACACTGGGGTCTTCCCACAGAATGGGAAGGTGACAAAAAATTATTCATTTGATGAAGTAAGAACAAATGCAAAGCTGAGTATCAAACTGGAAGTAGCCTGTCATTAAGCTTTGTTTTATGACTGGCTGTGGGTACATGCTTGTGTATGTGTTTACATGCATGCACACATGTACATCCATGTGTGTATGTAATGCATAATGTTTATTGTACAGGTGGGTGTTGTGTTTTATGGTACATGACAGCCAAATGATTTGTTCATTTATGGACATCCTGCCCTTTCATTTTTTCTTTTTTCCAGTGTATAGGTGATCTCAAAATAGGAAATGCACTTAACTGTGTAAAAGATTAATGCTGAAGTAAGCTTTTTGGGTCCTTTGCCAATAGATAGTAATTCAATCCGGTATTGGTATTTTCACAAATAACCAAACCAACAAACTTTTATATATAACTGAAGATCACATAAAACAGATTTGCATAAAATTATTATTTTGTTTATATCTAACTTTCATTTTTGTACAGACAAAATTGTGTAAGATATAAAGTTTCAGTGATTTAACCCTCTTTCCAACTTTTCATGATTTTTATGAGCGCAGACTTTCAAGAAAACAGTTGAAAATAAATTACATTGCCTTGTGTCCATTAATCAGCAAGTAAAACACAGTCTTAAAAAAGACTTGGAAATGATGGCTCTCTTTGAGACGATTGTTTAGTTAGGAGACCAGATAGTCTCTGAAATGCTTTGGAAGAAGGCCAGCGCTGTTCTTATGGAGTGGAAAATCCACAGCACTTGAGCAGTTCACTTACTCTGTGCCCCACTGGGAAGGAGGACCAAGTATGACAGCCAGAATGACCCCTGGGCACACGTTCCTGCCCTTGGTTACTTAGCACATTGAGAAAATAAACTCTCTTCTAAGCAAGCCAAGCCTCATTGTTATACATGAAGGGAGGCCCACTTATTTCCTGAGAGATGTGGTACGCGTAGGGGAGACCTGGATTTCATGGCTACTGACCTTTTCTGGCCATGAAAGCTACTTGTAGGGCTTCCATCTTTTCTCTGCTCAAAGCAGAGGCTGCTTGAAACAAAAATGAGACAGGAGAAGGAGAACAGAGAAGGAGAGAAAAGAAAATACAGAAAGGAAAGGGGAGGACAAGGCAAGGGTGTGTTAGACCGTGGGGAAGGGTTGTGAATAATCGCCACCAGGTTCCACCCATTGGTGTCCTTGCACAACACATTCACTTACTTCTCTGCTCTCTCATCTCTCTACCCTTTTCCCCTCTGTCCCCATGTACTCTCTTTCTTTCCTTCTTTCAAGTATTTGAGTGTCTGATAACGTGCATGATCCACTGGTTACAGCAAGGAGCCTAATACCTTGCCCACGAGAGAGAAAATCTAACCAGATATGCCCATTTTTTCTCTAGATATTTAATCATGCCTATGACATGCCAGGTTCTCTCCTAGGTGCCAGGAGTTGGGCCCAGCCCCTGTTCTCATGGAGCTCACCTTCTGTTGGGGGGTGTTACATAATACACACGTCAGCAAACCGCTGTGGTAGTGGCCGGTGGAATGATAAGGCACAACTTGGGAGGTGCGGGAGGAGGCAGCCAGCATTGGATAAGATGGTCAGGGGAGGCTTCTTTGCAGAAGGGACATTTGAGCTGAGAACTAAGCTGTCTCTCAGTTCTCAGCTATTCAACTGTTTGGGGACAGGGTATCCCAGGTCGAGGAAACTGCAAAGGCAAAGGGATGGGAATATCTTGGCAAGTTCAAGGGACAAAGGGCCAGGGTAGCTGCTGCCGAGTGGTGTAGGGAGGGAGGTGAGGCTGAGGTGAATAGGTGGACGGAGATCTGGTGGTGCAGGTATCTGGCCCAAGAGTGGGTTTTAGTCTAAAGGGCACAGGAAACAACTGCAAAATTTAAAGCAGGTTGTGGTCTAGTTATTGATTTAAGAGGTCATGCTGGTTATTTTGGGTGATGCACAGAGCCGCAGCCCATGTCGTGCAGCCTCCCTGTGGCTGGGTGATGGTGGCAGCTGGGGCTCTGGAGGTAGGGGTAGAGATGGACAGAAGTGAAAGGAACATCTTTTGGATGTAGTCAACAGGACTTGCTAATGAGTTTAAGGGTGTGGCATGGATGGATTTGGGGGAGGATGAGACTGTAGGGAGACTCCTGGGTTGTATATAGTCATATAGTTGGCAAGTGCTTTGAAGGACAAATTGAGGGTGCTTTGAAGGGCATGTTATGGGGTGAAAGGAAAACCTCTTTTCCTTTGCAGTGCTCTTTACTGCTACAGTACTTACAGTACTTCTGACACCAGGTGTGCGTGGTGAGGGTGTTCCCCACGCCAAGCAATTCTGCAGTTCCTTGTAGACACCAACTGAGTGTCCTACAGTTCAACTCCATTCTGACATGTTTACCTGGAGAGCGCGTCAGATCCCACAGCTGAAGAGCTCAGTCCCCTAAGACCGCCCCACTTCCTCACTGGACACTACTCACAGCCCCAGGCTGTCACCTGTGCTCCTGACCAAGTGGCTACAGATCAGAGGTTCCCATGACCCTCTGAACAAATCATCAGGTTTGATAATTTGCTAGAGTGGCTCAGTTTACTCACTAGATTACTGGTTTATTATAAAAGGATACAACTCAGGAACCACCAGGTGGAAGAGATGCACAGCAGGATGTGGAGGAAGGGGGCTCAGAGCTTCCACGCCCTCTCTGGGTGTACCACCCTCCCACGTCTCCACATGGTCACCAGCAGGGAAGTTCTCCAAACCCCTTCTGTTAGGGCTTTTATGGAGGCCTCATTACTGGGCATAATTGATTAAATCATTGGCCATTAGTGATTAGCTCAACTCTGGTTCCCCTCCCTTGAGGAGGTCGGGTTGGTGGCAGAGGGCTGCAAGTCCCCATCCTCCAATCTTATGGTTGGGTCCCCCGCCTTCCAGGTTCCATCCTGTGTTTTTTAGGGGCTCTCTAAGAAGCACCTCATTAACATACCTCAGGTGTGGTTGTAAGGGGTTTGTTATGAATAACGACAGATGCTCCTTTCACCTTTATGACTTTCATCACTTAGGAAATTCCAAGGGTTATAGGAGCTCAGATATATACAGTTGACCCTTGAGCAATTCAGGGATAGGGGCACTGACCCCACCTACCCCATGTAGTCAAAAATCCATGTATGAATTTACAGGTTCAGTGCAATCCCTTTCAGAATACCAATGACATTTTTTAGAGGAAATAATCCTAAAATTCATATGGAACCACAAAAGATCCTAAATAGCAAAAGCAATCTTGAGAAAGATCCAAGCTGGGGGTATTATGCTCCCTGACTTCAAGCTATACTACAAAGCTACAGTAATCAAAACAGTGTGGTACTGGCATGAAAACAGACCCATAGATCAGTGGAACAGAATAGAAAGCCCAGATATAGACCCACACATATGTGGTCAATTAAAATATGATAAAGAAGACATGAATATACAACGAGGAAAAGACAGTCTCTTCAATAAGTTGTGTTGGAAAAACAGCTGTGTGCAAGACAATGAAACTGGATTACTGTCTAACTCCACATACAAAAGTAAACTTGAAATGGACTAAAGACATAAATATAAGACATGAAACCATAAAACTCTTAGAAGAAAACACAGGCAAAAATCTATTGAACATAATCATGAGCAATTTTTTTGGACACATCTTCCTGGGCAAGGAAAACAAAGTAAAAAAATGAATAAGTGGAAATAAAACAAACTAAAAAGCTCTGTTTGCAAAGGACACCACCAACAGAACAAAAAGTCATTCTACAGTATGGGAGAATATATTCATAAATGATTTATCCAGTAAGGGGTTAGCATCCAAAATATATAAACTAAAATGAATCAACATCAAAAACCCCAAATAACCCGATTAAAAAATGGGCAGAGGACCTGAACATTTTTCCAAAGAAGAAATACAGATAGCCAACAGGCACATGAAAGGATGCTCCACATCACTAATCATCAGGTAAATGCAAATCAAAATCACAATAAGATATCACCTCTTACCAGTGAGACTGGCTGCTATCCAAAAAACAAGAAATAGCAAGTGTTGGTGAGGATGTGGAGAAAGGGAAACCCTCCTGCACTGTTGGTGGGAATGCGAATTGGTGCAGCCACTGTGGAAAGCAGTATGACATTTTTTAGAGGAAATAATCCTAAAATTCATATGGAACCACAAAAGATCTTAAATAGCGAAAGCAATCTTGAGAAAGATCCCAGCTGGGGGTATTATGCTCCCTGACTTCAAGCTATACTACAAAGCTTGTGGAAAGAAGTTCCTCAAAAAACTAAAAATAGAAATACCATTTGACCCAGTAATTCCACTCCTAGGAATTTATCTGAGGAAAACAAAAGCCATGTTTCAAAACATAAGCACCCTTATTTTTATTGCCACATGATTTACAATAGCCAAGATATGGAAGCAACCTAAGTGTCCATCAACAGATGAATGGATAAAGAAGATGTGGGTATGTATACACAGTGGAATATTACTCAGCCTTGAAAAAAGAAAGAAATCTTGCCATTTGGAACAACATGGATGGACCTAGAGGGTATTATGCCAAGTGAAATAAGCCCGGTGGAGAAAAACAAATACCACATGACTTCACTTAGTTGTAGAATGTAAAAACAAAACAAAATGAACAAAAATAGCAGTAGATTTAAACAGAGAAGTGACTGTGGTTACCATCAGTGGGGGGTGTTGAGTAGGTGAGTGGGAGAAGGTGAGGGGGATAAAGGGGCATAAAAATCTCAGCCATAATATAAGTTGGTCATAGGGATGGTAGTACAGCATGGAGAATACAGCCAATGATTCTGTAACGTCTTCTGTGTTGACAGATAGTATCTGCACCAGTTGGGGTGAGGATTTAGTAACGTGTAACTGTTGAACCACTGTATTGTATAATTGAAACCAATGTAATACTGTCTATCAATGAAAAAATGAAAAAAATCCACATATGACTGACTCTTTAAAACTTAACTATGAATAGCCTATTATTGACCAGAAGGCTTAACAATACCATAAACAGTCGATTAACTCATAATTCAGCATGTCACACATATTATATACTATTTTCTTACAATAAAGTAAGCTAGAGAAAAATTTTTTTGAATTGCTGCAAACCTTCAAAAAATTTTTCCTCAGAGAAATCCACATATAAGTGTACCTGTGCAATTTAAACCCGTGTTGTTCAAGGGTCAGCTGTATTTCTTATTATAAATCGCAGCATTACAAGGTGCCTGACGGGTATGGGTAAGCTGGGAAGATTCCTGAAGAGGTGACATTGGAGCTGATTCGATATTAAGGACCGCGAGGGTTCTTTGGGGAGATTACTGTAGGATAATGTGAGAAGGGAGGTATTCATGCTGAAAAAAAGGACTTGTGGCAGCTAAAAATACTGCTTTGTGTCTGATAGACTTTAGCAAAGAAAGAGTGTACTTAGGGACATCCGTCTAGGTGGGGGCTTTTGAGGTGTGAGAAGGGCGTCTGCAGTGGGCGGTGGGCACTGCTCCAAGAGGTGCCCCCTGAGTAGTGCCTCCTACTGCTCCCGACCCTCTCCGGACTTCTCTCCACCGGGGTGGGCTTGCCTGGCATGCAGAGTCACCCGGTGGCAGCCTTCCTTATGAAATTAAAAGCTGGAGGTGTTATTATAGTTAATTCAGAGGTTCCTGTTCACCGCGCTTCTCCCTCCTCCATCGCCCTTCCCCCCGCTTTTTAGGCGGCTGGGATTTTGACTTTGGCTGGAGGAGAGAAGGAGGAATAGTATCAGGGTGGTGGGTATACTAGAGGAAAAATAGTTTTTCCATACGGTTATGACTACGACCTGAAAACATCTGGAAGTTTACTGACCAAGGATTTTTGCCTGTTAGTGTTTCTTCATGCCATTTGTAGCTTTTATTCACAGAAAGTTTAATCTGGTCCCCGTTCCAAGCAGCATTCCCTTCTGGACAGAGTAAGTTTTTGAAGGCTTTTCAGAACAGATCTTGGAGAGGTGACACCTGCCTTATATGTTGCAAAGACATCAGTTCCACGGCTCAGGGAGCAGGTGGAGTTGGCCGGGTTTGAGGTGCAAGATGTGTATGCGGCAGCAGCAAAAGGTCAGAGTGGTGAAACGTGCATCGTCAAAACCTGGGGCTCGTTTCTGGGCCTTTGTACAGTGGAAACCAAAGCAGTTCTGAGCTTTGGTAGCACTGGCCAGGTTGGATTTGTAAAGGGCGGTTTGATGAGAATGAACACCTTCGGGAGAAAGCGAGTGAACACTGAAGGTCAAGGGGATGATTTTCTGCCCTTTGCCCCCATGGGCACATGAGGGTTACTAGGACAGGCCTGTGTGTACTCGGAGGGGTGGTGAGGACGGGCGCTCCTCAGGCATGTTCGGGGTATCGCTGAAGCCTGGTCACACCCAGAGTACAAGTATAGCTGCCTTTCTCTCTTCCTGACCTTACTGGTCCCACTCACTCTGTCCTTATTTCTCATATTTAAAAAACAGGTATATTTCACATCCTTTCTGCAGTTTATGATGAAAATTGTATTTTCTTCAGTCTTTAAATATAAAATGAGACCGTTCTGTTTTTTTCCAAACTACCTATCTCTTGCTCCCTGGCAGAGGTCCGTGCCTCACTGTCAGAGCCGTGTCCCTGAACCAGTCTAAAAGGTGCATCTCGACAAGAAAAATGCAGCCTCGCCTAGGGCTAGCAGGCTTAAAAAAATGATTAAGTCCAAGAGAAATACTCCTTTTCATTTGTTTGCTTAATGGAAAATAGGGATTTGGAAATTTCTCAGTGACAAAAATCCTCTGGCTGGTCTAATACTTAGTGAGGTGGGGGTGGAGATGCGAGAAGGCTGGAAGGGAAGTGGGGGCAGAGGAGACCCCACACATGTCAGGTCCCCCACTGGCTGGAGTCCAATGGCTGATACACCATTTTTACCCAAACATTTCCATGGGTTTCCCAAAGGGAAATGTACCAGAGGCGGTGAGTGTGATTGAACACTGAATACTTGGGTCTGTTTTTTAAAGTCATGGTTGGTGTTCTGAAAACTCGTACCCAGGAGAGCCAAATTGCTGTGACCAGATCACTTAGGGTCACCTTGGCCAGCACCCTGAAAATCTTAGGGTTTCTTGCTTGTCCTTGGTTTTTCCTGTTTTGTCTGCTCAATGGAAAACCAACCAAGCAGGCCTGGTGCTTTCCATAGAAACTCAGGAAACCTGGTTGTGATACCAGCTCTGGTTTCCTTACCCTAAAGCATGGGCTGCCAGCCAGGTATTGTCCCATAGTCCCAGGGAAGTTAGTGTAGATTTTAGGATAGGAATGTAGTGTCCAGAAATCCCTTATATTTTGGAAGAATATGGTACATTATACTATGAGGGAACCCATGTGGAATACAGAAGTTGCACTTGGCTTTCAGAGATGCGTGCTGTCTCATTGAAATGCTGTTTCAGTGTTAGCTATTTGCTGCTAGTTCCTGAACTCTGTTTCTTCATTGGTACAATAAGGAGGGTGGATTATACCAGTGGGTCCCCCTGCTGGCTGAACACTAGTGTCAAACTAGTGGGAAGCTTTTGAAATTCCAATGCCTGAACCTTTCCCTGCTCTGCCTGAAACAAAATATTTGGGACTAAGGGAGTATTCAGTTGCAAAGAGTTTAAAGAAATTGGTAAAACTATAGGTGCTTCTGCTCTGAAACAATTGATGCCTCACCTGCTTATACCAAAGATGCTGCAGGAATGATGATGACAGTGGGCTCTGGAACCTGAGCCTACCTCCACCACTTAAGAGCTGTGTGTTGTCAGGCAAGTTACTTGACCTCTCTGTGCTTCCGCTGGCTGCTCTGTGAAATGAGGATAATACTGGTGGTTATGGCTAGTAAATGGGTTAATATAGGCACACTGCCCAGTTATTTAGTAAATGCTATTTACTAAATGCATATGATTATGATCATAATAATCCCAACAATAGCTAACCCTCAGTAGTGCTCACTAAGTGCTGGGAACCATTTTATAAACTTCATGTTCATAGCCACCTTATGGCTCTTTCCATCGCCCTGGGGGCCCCTTCCTGCGCCTGCCCAATCAATCCCTCTGACCTCCATCACCAGTTTTATGAAGATCTCAGGTGAGGAAAAAAGTGTATCTCACTTTGTAACCTCAACGTGCTCTATGACATAATATGACAACATTTTTTTTGGCTATTTTATTATTTAGAAGTTCCTTCAGTGGAGGTCAATTGAGAAAGATCTAGAGAAAATAGGAAAGTGGTGAGAGTCTTGGGAAGAAATAGCAGGCATGAAAGATCTAAAGGGGGAAGTGTGAGGGAGGTAGTTCACTGCCAGAAATTCGACAGGTGTGACGTAAGTTTGTTCAGGGACAGGGATCACTTGGCATTCTTAAGTGCAGGCAAGGTAAGCATTTTGATTGGATCTTAAAATCTATTTTGGCACTTTAACTGGTAGGTTTGTCCCACATTTATTATCTGTGATCATGGATACATTTGGATTTATTTATGTCATCTTATTTTGTACTTCCTATTTACTCTGCTTTTCCTTTGTTTCTTTTTTCTCTCCTTTACTGTTTCTTTTGGATTGAACCATTTTTCTTTATTCTGTCTCTTCTGGTTTGGGACATAGATAGCTCTATGTTTTTAGGGGTTATTAAAATGCCAATAAGTCTTAGTTAATCTTCCCAAATGACTCAAGGATCTTGGTATGCATCCACTTCCCATATACCTTTTTGATTTGATGTTACTATAGGTGGATATGGTTGTCCAGTCTTTTTATTCTTCTTCCTTTCTCTCCCCAGTTGTAGTAGTAGCAATAGTTGTTATTCTTATAGATTTATATAGTCAATATATGTTTACAATTACCAATGTTTACCATTTTCTTTGGTTCATTGTATCTTCTTACAACTCAGGTTTTCTTTCTGGATTCAGTTTGTTTGCTTTTTAACCCTGAGATGAGTCTTTTACAAGAGGAGGTCCCAGCTAGTGAGCCTGGAATGAGTTATACATGCTGAGATGTTGATCCCTTCAGCCCACGAGGTGACAGAGTTGGGTCTGGGGCAGCCGGGACCCTAAAGGCAGTCACCCCTCTCCTCCAGTACAAGACCAGCTTCCTCTGCTTGCCTCAGTGTTCCATAAAAATATGTTCCACATGTGACATAATGTGAAAAGAGTTGATATAACACTATTTAAAAGCTTTTTCAGTGGAGACCTATTAGTAGTAAACACTCTCACTTTTAATCTGGAGAGGGCTTTATTTCAGCCTCAGCCAATGATAGTTTAGCTGGTATAAAACTTCAGCTCCTCAGTTTTCCTCCCCACCCCATCCCTCAGCAGGCTGGCCTTCTATTATTGCAGTTGAGATCTCTGTGCTCAGTCTAGTTGTTATAACTACTGTGTGTTGTACTAAAGAGAAGTAGTATTTCTCACTTAGATAGGTAAGGTAAAAGAGGGTAAAAGAGAGATTTAAGACTATTGGACACTTTCATATTTCTTACTTGTTAAGTTCCCTTTGAGAAATCCAGAGGGAAAATGATCCTCCTCATTCCAGGTGATCTTGGTTGAACTGTATCCCAGTGGACTCCAGCGGTCTTTCTCTGATGAAGAAGACCTTAATACTATTGCAGAGGGCGATGATGTGTACGCCTTCCAAGCCCCTCCACCATCTGGCCAGGAGACGCTCTCAGGTACTGTGGTGCTTTTCAGAATTTCATTTTGTTATAATGAGTTACAGGCTTGAGAGGGTTCTCATTGGTTGCTCATAAGACATTTAGTTTTAATACTTGGACCCATCAGGCTTATTTTCTCAGATATTTGGTGTACAGATGGTTGATTACTAGAAATTATTCAACTAATGCAGCCGAGGTTCTCAAAACCTTAATGAGTATCAGAGTTACCTGGAAAGCTTGTGAAAGCAGATTTCTGGGCCCAGGGTTTCTGATTAGTAGGTCTGGGGTGGGGCCTGAGGATTTGTATGTCTAACAAGTTCCCAGGTGATGCTGGTCCTGGCATCACACTTTGAGAATCTCTATTTAGAACAGGTGCTTGGGTAACCTTTGTCTTCAGGACTCTGGTGTTCAAGGTCTATGCTTGAAGTAAAATTTTTACAAATTGGAGCAGTAGGTGGCCAAAGAAGTTCAATGATTTTCTGTTAACAGTCTCACTTCCCAGTGCTTGCTTTTCCTAAACTTAGGGATGGCCAAGATGGCCAGTTCCTGACAGTCTTTCACTGCAGGTCAGTGTACATTGTGGCCCAATTAAGCCAGGCAAGAACGCCTGTATCTATAGAGGGCTCTGGCCAGTGTTACCGGATAGCCCAGATGAGTCCTGTGTCCCGGCCTGGACCGTCAGTCAGCCAAGGTGGCCAGCTGTGGGAACCAGATGTCTGCAGTTGCCCTGAGTCAACAGGGAGACTCTGGGCATGGGACGCGATATTGACTGGCCCTGATTGTAACTCAGTGAGACAAGCCCTCATTTCAAATTCAATCACAGGTGATACATCTGTGCCTTAAAAGCCAAATTTTCAGAAGTGATTGGAAATTGAGGATAGTCTAATTCTTCTTCCTCAAGGGTAAAGATTCTTACCTTCCCTGTGTGCCACTTATGCTGATTTTCTAAGACCATGGTTACTCTGCGGTTCCCTGATCAAGGCATAAAAGCAACCAAACTCATTTTGGAGTACTTTTTAGACTGGGTTTCAAACATGTTAAAATCTCTGCCCACATTTTAAAATTGCTGGCTGAACACAATAGTGAAAACCACCACGTGTGTGATCTTCATATGCCATGCCAGATGGCACAAGTGCCACAAACCTTACTATCTCTTCCCCTAACCCATTGCTAAGTGTCTCCCAACAGTGGTTAATATCTAAGTGCTCAAAGAGAAGAGGGTCCGGAGAAGCTGGGGTTCTGACCCAGCAAAGCAGCTCCTTTAGGAATACAAACTCAATTCTCTGTCTTCAGCATGTCCAGCTGGCCTGGCAGTGTCCCCGCGCTTTGCAGTCCGTGGTGGTCAGTGGTCATGCCTGCCCGTCCATTGTGAGAACACGGTGCTGATTCTCTTCTGTAACTTGGTGGGGTCAGGGCAACAGGCCAGCAGGTATGTTGAACTTCTTCTTTTAACATAATGTCTGGGATTTATACACATGTACTTGGAATTCTGTCTAGAATAATTCTAATTTGATAAAATGAAACATCCATTACCAAGGCTAATCAACTAGGAGTAGGCAGTTTCTGATCAGGAGGATTGGAAATAGCCGACTCAAGCAGATGGCAAACATTGCCCTTAACAATGAAGCATCAGAGGCTTTTCTGTTAATTTCAGGAACAATTATTAATTGCTTTCTCTGCTGTTTGGTGCTGTGTCATAAGTCCCAGGCAGTGTTGCAATAAGACGAGCAAAAGGAAACTGGCTGTCACAAAAGAGGGGATGTAATTACCGCTATTGGCACATGGTACTGCCATCTGCTCTAAGGGCCAGGGAGAACTGGAAAGTGATTAGAACTAATCAAAGAGTTGGAGAAGTCGTTGCACAGCAAATACACAAAAGCAGGTAGTTTCCTTGTAGAATCCAATTAAAATGTTTAAAAGATAAAACACCAATAAAAAATTTTGGGTTGATAGAATGTTTATAAAATGAGTCTAGGGTAATAAACTCATAAGAATAGTGAGAAAATACTGGGGAAAGCAGGGAGGAAGGATGGCTGTATTAAAACAGAATAAAGCTTTAAATTTTGAAATACTGTTACAGAGGCAGAAGAATAGCCACTAAAATCAATGAACAGACTAGACCAAAGTATATTTAAGTATTTATTATATGATAAAGACAGTATATTTCACATTACTTGAAAGTGAGCAAATTGTTCAGTATGTCAAGCTGGGCTAATGCTTTGTTTCTTTTTATTTTATTTAATCTATCTTTTTACTCCTTCCATAAATTCACATGTATAAGTCCCAGATTTGATTAGAGAGGTGATTATGCAAAAGGCCCATAAAATAACTTGAAGATAATGTAGAGGAATATTTTGTCTTTGGGTCAGGGGGTCTGTTTGAACACCTAAGGCAGGAAGCTGTAAAGGAAAGAGATAAGGTTTTAAATACATTTAAAATTTTAAACTAAAAGCAAATTTGAAAGGCAAAGTGCAAATGAGGAAAAATAGTTACATCAGGTGACAAGTGAAGGATGTTTATGCATCGTATAAAAAAACCTGGCTCTCAAATTAGTGAGAGAAATCTCTAGTGAAATGAGGCACAGAAGTTAGCATTAGGTCATAGAAAAAATTCAAGCCTAGGTTAAACTATTCAGCTTCATTAGCAGTAGAAGAAATTCAGTCACAAGATGCTATTGTTAACCTTTTAGATTGGCAAAGAACTTTAAAAATTGATAATACTCATTCTGGGCAAGGGTCAAGGAATGGGGCACATGCCTCACTGGTAAATTGGTGGGGATTTTCTGGCAGCAGGTTGGGAATAAATAGCTTTGGTCTTTCATTTCCACTTCTGGAACTTTATCCCAAAGAAACAGTTACTCACATGCCCCCAGAGGTGTAGGTGTGTATACAAGAATGTATGTAGTTCCTGCGACGTGCAGGCATTGTTTAAATAAAGAATTGGAAGCAACCTGAATGCTCAACAATAGAGGGTAAGGTAAATAAACTGATCTGTCCATTACAACAGTGGACAGCATGTAATGCCATTGCCCGCCTAGACACGCCACCTCAGATTTGTGCCTCAGCAGTTTCCTCAACAGTTTCACATTCTTGTCACGCTGAATCTTGCCACAACCTTGTGTGGTGTGGCCATGGAACAACGGGTGGTCAGTGATCTGTCCAGTGGTACCCATGTCCAAGCTGGAACTGACAGCCACAGGCACATCTGGGTTCTCAGCAGTACAATCTCCCTGCTCTGTGTTGCCTGGGTTGGGAAATGGGAGGCATTCCCAGTTATGAGAATATTCCTGACACATAAAACCATCAGTGTGTCAGCTGCATGGGGTTCCCTCTGGGTTTATCTCTGCCTGCAATATTCTCTGACCCTTCTCTCAACGATGGGGAGAACACCAGGGAAGAATGTTTCTCGGACGGCCAATCATTTGGAGCCATCTCTTTACAGTGCAGTGTCTCCATTTGCAGTGAGATTCTCTGATGGGCAGTTTTGTGCTGTGCTTTGTGCCGAACTCATCTGATGGAGAGAAGCCCATGAAGAGGCTCGTGGTCTCATGACTGTTGGAGTTTGTTGCTCTTCCCTTTGGTGAAATAACCCGATGTCCTTGGATATTTCAGGTTTGGGCCACCTTTCCTAATAAGGGAAGACAGAGCCATTTCCTGGGCTCAGCTCCAGCAGTGCATTCTCAGCAAGGTCTGCTATCTCATGAAGAGTGAGTCCACAGTACAGGTCAGTGTGCACGCAGGTGTGTGTGTGTGTGTGAGGGGTAGGGATGGGGGAGGAATGTAGAAGTGGCTCAGGGGAGATGAGAACTTGCTGTCAATGAGGGTTTATATTGTTGTATAAAACAACTTTGATTTATCTGCAAGGCAGAAACCATTTTATGGCCTGTCCTCTCTCCCTCTGCGGTGTTACAAAATACCTTTCACAGACAGAGCTTTCTCCTTGTTAAATCTTCCCAAACACCATTGGAATAAAGAGTGGGATTTACATTATTCTTCTCAATTTTGTGTACTTAACAGTTCACCATAGTTCTTCCCAGAGGAGAGCTTATTGCAATAAATTGAAATTTATATATTTGGATCAAAAATTTCAAGGGACTTCAGATGTAACTTCCATGGAAAATTAGAATCGATGTTTATGTCTAAACATGAAAATCTAGATACTAAAGATAATTTTGTCCAGTTTTAAAAACTGAGATTAAAGACTCAAAAGAAAATACCTTTTTAGCCTTGCTCATTTATTTATTCTCAGATTAGTAGTTTCCAAATGAAAACTACATATTCTAAAACCATTCCTTCGGCCCATAGAGTTTCAGAACTATTCTGGTGGCTGCCTGGCCAAGAAGATGTTGAAATTTGTGGGATGGTGCGGTAGCCTTGACATTTATTTCCCCCCAACTATTCTTGGTGAGAACTTCTCATTCGGGGGATGTACCCAACTTACTTCAGAGGCGATTCTTGATAATTCATGTTTCTTCCTGCTCAGGGAAAACCATACATTTGATTCAGGATTTATACCAAGTATCACTTTGTTAAAGACCTTCTCTACCTTCGTTTCCAACCTTTATCTCTAAAAGATTTTGCTCTGTGTACTGCCCAGGAGATCTACTACAGCTCCCGAATTAGAAACCCTAAGTTCTCTCTAAGTAGGTCAGAATATTTTATAATAGTTTTAGCTTTTCTCCAAACCTGTGCTCCTGATTCTTGAAAGTGAATAAAACCACGTTCATGTGAACATTGTACTCAACTGTCCTTGCTCTCCACTGGGTCACACGTGTACTTGGGCCTCTGCACCTCTGTAGTCATTTTGATTTTAGAAATTGTTCAAAGCAATCGGTGGGGCCAGCAGAATTCTAATACAGACATCCTGCAACTCAGCTGTGGATGCTTTTCCACAGATTCATTGGTAAATGTCTAGGCTGACTTGATTTTCTGTAGGAGTAGTGGTTCTAAATGGCTGTGAGGTGCCCAGGCTGGCCCATCCATTTAACCCATCATGCTCTTAGTACTGCATTAAATATTGGCTCAATATGGTAAAAATTTGAAAAGAATCCATTCACAGTTCTCAACACTGAGCTGAAGAGATTAACAAATAGTGAACATATATTGAATGAATATTCACTGAATTTCCCTAGCCAAGAATAGAGGAAAATCTCTCACAGAAATAACCAATTTTCTGGTCAGAATGAATTCATGTAAATTGTGAAAAAAGAGATTTATCATTGCCAAGACATTTTTTATGGTCACTTTGTAAATTTTCTTTGTGTACAGGCAGAGTAAGCTGCCTCTGTGGGAGAGGGGACTTGATTATGTTGCCATCACACAGCAAGCAATTAGGGGTGCCAGGAGAGAGTTTCAGCTCCGTGTTGAAGTAACAGTTTCCTTAGGAAGCACACCCTTCTGTGACCAGCCCTGAATCAAAGAGCCTGAAGTCAGCTTGCTTCTAGCCATTGATTTTGTCGCTGTTGAAGCTGCAGGTCAACCAGAGGGTGGTTATGGTCCAGTTTGGCACATACACTCTCTGCACTTAACATTTGGCCCTTTGCAACCGGGTTCCAGTTCACCGCACTGGCCTCGCGTCCCATTGCTCCCTGCATGCGTGAGCTGTGACACCCACAGGAGCTCACTCACAGCCCACTGAGTGTGTTGGAGTCATGCTTTTTTCCATGTACAATCCCTCTTTCCTGGAATTATGGTGCTCCCACCCCTCCCCTGTCTGCATTTCATCAGTGAATGGTGAATTTCAACCTGTATTTCATCAGTGTCTTTTAAGTAGAGATGTCTGCCATTTATCTTTGTCAGAGTTTGGAAGAAATTCTTATTTTTCTCCCTGACAGCTACGGTCATCAGTGGCAATTTTAAGAACTGTGTTTTGTTCACTTGAAGATGCCATGGATATGTTTTTTTAACTGTGGTAAAATATACACATTTATTTTGCTCATTCACAAGTGCACATTAACTGTATTCAACAGTGTTGCATTAACCATCACCATTTTTTGTACCCGAATCTTCATCATCCCTACAAAATCTCTATTCCCATTAAACAAGGTCCCCATCCCCCATCCCTTAGCTCCTGTTTACCTCCATCTGGCTTTTCTGTCCCCGTGGATTTGCCTACTCTAGGTATCTCACATAAGTGGATGATTCATACAATATTTGTCCTCTGTGTCTTTTTTTTTTTTTTGTTCGCTAAGCCAAATATTTTCAAGATCCATACATATTGGAGCATGTGTCAGAATTTGCTTCCTTTCCAAGGTTGAATAACATTCCCTGTGTGTATAGCCCACATTGTGTTTATCCATTCATCTTTTAATGGACACTTGGGTTGTGTCTACCTTTTTGACTATTGTGAATAATGTTGTTTAAAACACTTCAATTTCAGAAATGTTAGAGTATTAAAAAAAGCGTACATCTCAGAATGAAAGCATAGGTGGAATTTCTTATATGGCCTATTTTATAGTGTATAAACACTTATTAAGTATTTGGTATGTAAAATATACACTAACTTGCTTTTAGATAATTGCCTTCTTTTGGCAATTTGGTGATGATGATAAATCATCTTAAAATAAGTCAAGTTACCTATTAATAATTGACATAGTTGATTGATTTTTCCATTGACTATGCCAGCACCTGCTCCAGTTACACATGTGTGACTGAAAAACAGCATGATCATCATTTTGGAAAATTTAATGTGTTCAGCAGTGTTAGGTCACTATGTTGGAAGGTACAGTGTGTCTCTTCTTAAGAAAATGAAGCCTTTATAGCTCTAGGTTTTGAATACTAATTATTAAGAGAATATTCAAAATAGACTCTAGACAAAAAGAATTACAATTTTGAGTAATTTATTTGCCTGTAGGAGTCTAATTTAAACAGGCCTGATGACCCACCTCCTCCGTCTCTGTCTTGGCAGAATCCAGGTTTCTCTGGCCTGCAGCTACTTATCCCCACAGGACAGCCAGCCCCTCTGTCACTGGGCAGTGGACAGGTAAGGGCATGTTCCAGATTTTGTAAGAGAATGAGGGCGATCTCATTCGACTAGATAAGTGTCCATATGTGTCAGTCAAATTGCTTGCAATCTCAGCTACTCTTGGTCTCCTGACTCCCTGGCAGCAGCCACTATGCCAGGTTTGTACACTTCCTGTGCTTTCAGTGCTTATGTCTAGAGCGGACGGTGACACGGCCACCTCAGAGGTGAGGGAACATCGCTGTTCCCAGAAATAAGTTAACTCGCTCACACTTGCACAGCTAGTTATGGCCAAGCCCAAATTTGAACCCAGATTGGTCTGACTGAAAAACCCATTCAGTTAAGTCATGCTACTGAATTCAGCCTGTATGTCCCCTGTAGGGTAGGGGAGCCTTCTACCCCTCCACCATTGGCTCCAAACTCTAGCTGGTGGGCTCTGGCCAGGGGATAAAGCCAGTGTGGCCATGTGTCTGTGGGTCTGGCTTCCTGATTCTCCAGGTGCCCACCTGCAAGGCCTTCCACTGCACCTGGTCTTGCAAAGCAATCCACAGGACCAGCTCAGCGTCTGAGAGGCAGTTTCCCTGTCCGGCTCTTCTGCTCATTTTCCCACAGACACAAAGTTCTCAATAAACATTTCTGATTTCTTGGCTTGGTTAACCAAAGTTGACAATCTATGATGTAGGTCTGATATTGTGGTTTATGATAAGGAATACATATTTGGTATTCTGCACAGAGCTCATAAACCCCTTGGAATTTCCGTAGTGATAACAGCAATTAAAGCTGTCCTGTTATTCGTAAGAAGCCTGTTTCAAACGCACCTGAGTTTATGTTAATGAGGTGACTTTGGGGAAGTACCTAAGGATGGGGGCTGGTTGCCAGGGGGACCAACTTTGTGGCTCCTGGTTTGGAACTTTCAGACCTTGGGGAAGGGAGAGGGACTGGAGAGTGGGCCTGATCACCTGTGGCCAGTGATTTAATCAATCATGCCTAGGGAATGAAGCCTCCATAAGAAGCCTTTTCACATGGAGGTGCTGGGAGGGTGGTGGGCATGGTGGGCTGCACCGTCTCCCACGCATGCCCTGGGGCTGTTCCTGATTTATGTCTTTTCCGTCTGGCTGTTTCTGACTTATGCCCTTTGATAATAAATCTGAGAGACCCAGTTGTACCTGAGTTATGCCCTTTTATGATAAACTGGAGATCTAGTAAGTAAAATGTTCATCTGAGTTCTGTGAGTCCTTGTAGCCAATTAATCAAACCCAAGGAGGGTTATTGGAACCTTTGATCTATAGCTGGTTGGTCGGAAGCCCAGAAGACAACCTGGACCTAAGGACTGGCATCAAAGTGGGGAGGCAGGGGCAGGCCTGTGGGATCTGACACTGTCTTACTGGAGATAGTGCCAGACTGAGTTAATAGCTTGATGGTGGGGAAAAAGCACACATTGGAATGGTGTCAGAATCATGGTAGAGATGGGCCCCTCCTGTGACAAGGAGACCAGGAACCAGAGTAGGAAGCAGGGCAGAAGGTTCTACGCCCTGTGCCCCACCTGCACCCTCCCTGACGAGCAGCTGCTTTACAGAATTAGGGAGGCAGAAAGTGTTGGCCAGGACCTGCTTGGGCCTGACAGGAAAAGGGGACACAGTGGTGGGGAGGCTCTGAGAAGGGCCTGCTTAGAGCGTGAAGGGGCCCCTCACGGCCCTGTGTCTTGGAAGAGAGAACCATGCTACTCAGAGTGTGTGCCCCAGAGCATATAAACAAAGCAAACCTGAAGGAACAAGCAGCAGCAGACTCACACCGAGAAGGGACCAGCGGTTACCAAAGGGGAGGGGTGGGGAGGGTGAAGGGGATTCAGGGGCACTGTGATTCACAACACAACAAAAGTAGGTCACGGGGAAGGCAGTGCACCACAGAGAGGAGAAGTAATAACTCTACAGCATCTTACTACACAGGCAGACAGGGACTGCAATGGGGCGGGTGAGGACTTGATAATGTGCATGAATGTTGAAACCATTGTGTTTATGTGAAACCATCATAAGATTGTATATCAATCATAGTTTAATGAAAAATAAATAAATAAGTAAAAATAAAAGAAAAAAACAAATTGAGTTCCATAGGCTGGTGCCAGCCTATAAGCTTATTCTCACCAGTCTATAACAAGAACTTGAGAGAGAGCATTTAGATATATATGTTAAAGCAATATGAGAGAGCAATTAAAAATATGGTGAATACACATAATGTAGGAGGGGTACAGGGAAGGCAGCATAGCACAGAGAAGACGAGTAGTGACTGTAGCAACTTGCTACGCTGATGGACAGTGACTGTAATGGGGTATATGGGGTGCACTTGATAATAGGGGTGAATGTAGTAACCACAATGTTGCTCATGTGAAACCTTCAGAAGATTGTGTAGCAATGATACCTCAATAAAAAAATACAGTGAATATATAACAATTTTATATAACATGTAATTTTTTTGAAAATTGAACATGTATTTTGTCATCCCCCCATGAGTTATATTTTTATTGTACTTTATAAAAGTATCTATAATGGTTTAGAAAGAAACCAGCCAATGGGCCTTTCATCATAGCTAGTTTGAGAAGCACAGGAACAGAGTCTGGTTGCACAGCAGGCTGATCATGCTGAAGATAGTCCTGCCTGTGGCCACAGTCCCCGTCACACCTTCTGTCCACCCCATGTCCCCTGGCAGTTAATGGCCCCTGCCTCCACCCCCACCTCACGAGGACAGCGCTCCCCAGGATCTGATACCGTTGATCCCTTGCCTCCTTCACAGAGCCCACATTCAGCTCCGGGGCCTCCCTAGCCTAGCACCACCTTGCTCTAGAAATGTCTCTCTTTTTTAAAAATTGTGGAAAAATATGCACAACATTTACCATCTTAACCATTTTTAAGTATACAGTTTGGTGGCATTAAGTCCATTCACATTGTTGTACGACCATCGCCACCATCCATCTCCAGAATGTTGTCATCTTCCCAAACTAACACTCTGTCCCCATTAAACATTAACTCCCCTTTCCCCCTCCCTCAGCCCCTGACAACACTGCCCTACTTTCTGTCTCTGAACATGACACTCTCGGCATCTCATATGAGTGGAATGGGATGGTATTTGCAGTTTGTATCTTTCTTATTTCATTTAGCAGAGGATCTTCAAGGTTCAACCATGCTGTAGCATGTGTCAGAATCTCCTTCCTTTTTGCGGCTGAACAGTACTCCACTGTATGGCTCTACCCCACTGTGTTTACCTCCTAGAAGTTTCTTTGCTCCCTTGCTGTTCTCCCGCTCAGGGGCCCTCGCATGTGGTCGGGCCTCGGCGCTCCGCCGCGGCATGCTTCCCTGGTGTTCCATCCCTGGATGACCTCGCTTCTGTCTACCACCTTTAGGTCCAGGTCTCTTGGATTTAGATCTAGTCCAGATTTTTCTCTGAGATGCAGACCTTCCCGTCCTACCTAAATGTCTCATAGACATGCAAGCTAAATGTTTGTCAAGGCAAATCTTCTTGCTTAAGACTTTCCTCTTCTGCCTCCTGTGTTTAGATGCTGACAACCATGATATCTACTCAGGATCCCAAGCTAGTGACCTGGGAATCACCCTTCATTCCTGCTTCCTGCTTTCTCCTTACATTCAGTCCATCATCAAGTCCTCTTGTTCCAAATCCTGGTGGTTCCTCAGACCTGTTCCCTCCTCTCCACATTTACCACCATTGCACACGTCCAGGCCCTTATCACCTCAGCCGGACGCCCCGAGAGCCTCCGCTCTGCTGTAACTGCCTCTAGGCCAGTGGCTCTCTCATCCATCTGCTTCCATACCTGTCTGTTTAAAACCCTTGGGTGGCCCACAGGGTAAAGTCCACACCTTGCAGAGTGGCGGTCACAGCCCTGCCCTCTCACCGTGTGGCCGGCCCGCTGAGCCTCTGCTTGTCAGTCCAGCACACACCCTACACTTTGCTCCTGCTGAACCTCTGCCTGTACAGCCCTTTCCTCTCCCTACTCGCCCTTCACCTGGCCAACTCCCACTCTTCCTGTGCAGAAAGTCTGGTCTCTGAAGCAGCTGAGTGCAGTTCCTCCAAGTCCCCATAAACACCCGGGGCACATTGCAGTGGCCTCTCTGCATGTCTCTCCCATTATCAGACTCTGAGCTCCCTCGGGGTAGAGATTATGTCCGTATGTTGCTTAGGATCACATCCTGCCATAAATATCAAATAATGGCCTTTCTTGTTTGAGCCAGGGCTGTGATCAGGAGAGAAGATCACGCTGTCTCTTGCATGATTGTTCCCATGTAAGGAGTGAACTTCAGTTATACACGCACTTCTCCCCTCTTTGTGCCCTAAGGGGTTTTGTGTAACAGAGCCTGAAGATACTGATTCTCCTTTTCCACTCCCATGTTTAGACTCCAGTTGAAAAGTAGAACGAGGAATGAGGCAGAAAGAGATCAACATGTTAGGTTTATTGGTAAGGGTGATAAGAGGATGTGGCTTAGATATGAATCCAATATGTTCCTCGGAATGAAGTACCCCAGCTCCCCAGGTGTGGGCCTTCTGCATTGTGGGGATGGCAAATTTGGGCATCCTAAAGAAAGAGATGTAGGGATTCAGACAGGCTCCCCAGTATGTCTCCTCTTGGAATTGAATATGTGTCAGTCTGCCAGCGTTCCACCTGCAGGGACACGGGTGAGGAAGAATGCCAGCCTGCTCCCATTTGGGTCGGAGGAAGGAGTAACCGGGAGGGACTGAGCCGATCACCTCCCCACAGTCCCACCAGCCTGATAAGGCGCTTCTCCTCCTCTGAGGGAGTGAAGATGGCAAGGAGGGAGACAGACAGATGCCCGTAGCTTAGTTACCCCCAGTCTACAGAAGGGTGAGGACGGACCGGCACTGTTTGCCCTGAATCAGCAGGGCTCGCCAAGCGGGGAGGGCTTCTCCCAGACCCACCTGGTTCCCTGCCCCCTCGTGGCGCTTGCTCGTCAGGATGACATCACGACCCCACCCCAGACCTGTCACTGCTCACCCACAGGATTTGGTATGAGCTCAAAACCTGTTTTTGAATCATCTAGAAGACAGGGACTCGTGACAGGCCCAGTTTTTTCCCACGATACATTCTGAACGCTGTTAAGTGTTGCCTTTCCCATCACTTGTCTGTCTGACTTCAGGACAAGACCTCACATTCTCCACTCTCTTCCTAACTTGTCTCCTCTGTATGAAGGTCAACCAACCTTTTTGGAAATGGGCTGAGCCCAAGCCGCTGCAAAGAGCCGCAGGTTGACTCACACTGAGAATTTCTGGGTGAGGATGAAGCCTTCAGCGGAGAGCGACTCTCCAGATACCTCCCTTGCTTTACACCGGGCTTTGGGCACATCTAGAGCATCAGGCCTGGGGCTGAGGCAGCCGCTGCACCCTGAGAGATGTGGGGAGGCGGCTCGCTGCTTTCTGATGGCTCCTTGTTCTCTCCCCAGGGCTTTGCATCTCAGGAGGCCAGGAGGCCCCCCACACATCAAACTGGCCGTGGAGTGGGATAGCTGTGCCAAGGAGCGGTGAGGTCAACAGAATTTGTCTCTGCTGGGGAAAGACGGGGCCAGCTGTGCAAATGAATCTTCCTGGACCCAGTTTCCCCCCATGTGACCATGAGGCAGTATGCACCCCTCCTGGATGCCATGTGGCCCATGCCTGTACGAAACCCTAATGATAACTGTCTGTTATATAAACAGCGATAGTAATAGTAAGAATGGTAGTGGTGGGTGTCGCCAACACTGGGAGCAGTGACAGTAGTAAATGGTATGTGATGCTTACCCACCCAGCCCGTGCCAGTCACTGCTCTGAACACTTTATACATAGTGCAATTTATCTCATCTTCATCACACTCTGTGAAGTAGGTACTACTGTAATCCACATTTTCAGATGTCAGATGTGGAAACCGAGGCCAAAGAGGTTAAACAATGTCACGTGCTGTCACACAGCCGATGCATGGCAGAGCTGGGATTTGAACCTAGGTCTTCTGGCTCAAGTCAACACTCTTAAACAGTAACTTGGCTGCTTGTGTAACACCGAGTGCATCTGCCCTACCTTGAAAAAGGGCACTGTTCAGTCCAGCAAGGATTTATTAATCTACTAGGTGCTGGGCCCTGCACTAAGATGAGGAAACAAAGACCCATAAGCCAAAGATGTGGTCCTTCTTGGAGCTGGTGGGGGAGCCTGAGAATCCCAGAGCACTGAGCGAGCACCTAGGCAGGGTGTGCACGAGGCACCGGGTGGAGCACCCTCACCGCCCTGGCTCCGGTGAAGCCTCTGTTGGAGGTGAGAAGCGCTAACGCCATTGGTCTTCTGCAGCCTGTTCGGGAGCCTGCAGGAGGAGCGGGTGCCGGATGCGGACAGCGTGTGGAGGCAGCAGCAGGCTCATCAGCAGCACAGCTGTACCCTGGACGAATGTTTTCCGTCCTACACCAAAGAGGAGCAGGTGCCTCCCCGGGGGTCCACTCCTGGGCCGGGAAGGGGGCTGGCCACCTTTCGGTGGTCAGCTGTGGGCCCTGGGGGCCTCACAGTCCTGGTGGCTTCCTTGCCAGCTGGCCCAGGGCGACGCCTGGAAGTGCCCGCACTGCAAAGCCCTCCAGCAGGGCATGGTGCAGCTGAGCCTGTGGACGCTGCCGGACATCCTCATCATCCACCTCAAGAGGTTCTGTCAAGTGGGTGAGAAGAGAAACAAGCTCTCCATGCTGGTGATGTTTCCACTCTCTGGCCTCAACATGGCTCCCCACGTGGCCCAGAGAAGCACTGGTGCCAGGCCTGGGCCAGGCCCCTGGCCTTCCTGGAAGCAGCCAGCCTGCGTGCCCACCAGCTACCCACTGGACTTCCTGTACGACTTGTACGCGGTCTGCAACCACCACGGCAGTCTGCAAGGTGGGCATTACACAGGTGAGCCTCACCTTCCGACTCAGGGCTGCCAGGGCCGTGTTCGTGGCTGTGGCCTGGGCCTCAAGATGCCCGGGAAGAGGCACTCCTGGAATGCCACCTCACTCGGGCACTTGGCATGGGCTGACCCCTCACCCCAGGCACCTGCCAGAGGGTGGGGGGCTCAGGGTCCAAGCCAGAGTTGAGTTAGGTTGGTGGTTGGAATATGCAGTTACTTACAGTCTGAGTATATTCAACCATATGAAAAGTAGGAGGATAACTGTAGAACTGAGAGAGTGATGTTTACCCTTGTCTGTAATTCAACACAAGGACTCTTAACAAATTTTTAAAAATTATTTCAATGAATACATTTAATTTTTATCCCTTAGAGGAACTTGAGAGAAGTAGACAAATGGAAGGACAGAAACAAATGGCAGGGTGGCGTGTTCAGTTGTCCATCATCATATGCCTTGGTCCGTTCTATTCTAGAATAACATGAATCATTTAATTTAAAGATTGCTTTAAAATATTTCAGGTTTTGAAAAGTGCATGTTTCCATTGTTCTGATGTAGCTGCAATTTGGATAATACTGAACCATATAGAAATCGAGGATCATCACCCATTGAGATGGCCCCAGGCCTGGGCCAGGCCCCTGGCCTTCCTGGAAGCAGCCAGCCTGCGTGCCCACCAGCTACCCACTGGACTTCCTGTATGACTTGTACGCGGTCTGCAACCACCACGGCAGTCTGCAAGGTGGGTATTACACAGGTGAGCCTTGCCTTCCGGCTCAGGGCTGCCAGGGCCGTGTTTGTGGCTGTGGCCTGGGCCTCAAGATGCCCGGGAAGAGGCACTCCTGGAATGCCACCTCACTCGGGCACTTGGCATGGGCTGACCCCTCACCCCAGGCACCTGCCGGAGGGTGGGGGGCTCGGGGTCCAAGCCAGAGTTGAGTTAGGTTGGTGGTTGGAATATGCAGTTACTTACAGTCTGAGTATATTCAACCTTATGAAAAGTAGGAGGATAACTGTGAGAACCGAGAGAGTGATGTTTACCCTTGTCTGTAATTCAACACAAGGACTCTTAACAAATTTTTAAAAATTATTTCACTGAATACATTTAATTTTTACCCCTTAGAGGAACTTGAGAGAAGTAAACAAATTGAAGGACAGAAACAAACAGCTGTGTGGCGTGTTCAGTTGTCCATCATCATATGCCTTGGTCCGTTCTATTCTAGAATAACGCGAATCATTTCATTTAAAGATTGCTTTAAAATATTTCAGGTTTTGAAAAGTGCATGTTTCCAGTGTTCTGAGGTAGCTGCAATTTGGATAATACTGAACCATATAGAAATCGAGGATCATCACCCATTGAGCAAATGTAAGTACCTGCTCCATGCCAGACCCTGTGCTAGGTGCTGGGGCTTCAGAGATGAACAAGACAGATATGAGTCCTGCCCTATGGGACTTGAATGTAATTTCAGACACAGTAACACAGTGCTTGTCGTGCTAGCCTTTCACCACCTGGTATCACGAAAACATGATTGACTGTGTCTGTGACAGAGGTAAGGCTTCTCTGAGGACATCACCTTTCTGTCAAGAGCTGAAGGATGAGGTGGAACTAGCTATGTGAATAATGGGAGGAAGGCATTATGGGCAGAGTCACTAGCATGTGCAAAGACCCTGGGGCAGAGCTTGGTGTGATTAAGAACCCATGACAGCCTGTCGTGGCTGAAGTGTAGTCATGCGAGAACGAGTAACAAGGTGCGGCTGAGAAGAAGACACTGGAGGCCATGCACAAGAGTTTGCATGTTTTCCAAAGGGTGATGGGAAGTCATTCGATGGTCGTGGGCAGAGGAGTAAAGACATAGTCTAGTTTACAAAGTGAGGTCGTAGCTCTGCCCTATGGGGAAGGGGTAGAAGAGAGCAAGAATGGAAGTCAGAATCCCAGTTAGGAGGATGTTTGTGGTTTCAAGTGAGAGGTGGTATCAGCTGGGATGCAGGCAATGACAACCAGGACACTCAACACACATTTTGGAAGTAGGATCAGTAAGACTGGCTTTTGGAGCAGGTGTGGGGCAGAGGTGAGTGCCTGGTGCCTGGCTTGGATAACTGCAGGGGTTAGCAAACCATGGCCATTGGCCAAATCCAGTCCAGCCCCTGTTTTTGTACAGCCCATGAGTTAAAAAATGGTTTTTACATTTTGATAAATGTTTAAAAAGAAGAGTAGATGGCATAGACTGTATGTGGCCACATGTGACCTACCAAGCCTAAAATATCTAGTGTCTGGCCCATTACAGAAAAAGCTAGCTGACTCCAGATTAGTGGGTTTTGGTACCATTCACTGAGATATGGAGGGAAAAGAGAAGAGTATTCTGCTGTAATTGCTTGCAAAGTAGTGGGAATCTTATTTATGAACATCTTCTTAAATGTTTGACTTCAGTTCATAAATAGAAAACTTTATCGTAATTCCAACTGTGCGCTTTCACTGCATACTCAATCCGAGATGTGCATTTTGAAGCTTCTCAGCAGAAACAGGTGAGTGTTGCCATTACTGTCAGGCTAAATAGCTTGAAACTCCCTGGTACTGGAGGTTTTGCCTGAGCAGGACGCAGCAGAAGGATTCAACTTAAAGTAGCGGCACACTTTATCAATTATCAGCTGGAAGTGTAGCTGATTAATCTTTTCTAGTTCCATAAAATTCATTTCTGGCCCAAAATGGACCAATTTTTCTCATTCTGTTACAAACAGGCCCATTTTTTAACTATGCCAGTGGGAAATGTGTCCTGCATTTTGGGGCTCCAGTAATGGGGTTTGGGATTTGAACCTTTGCAGCCTACTGCCAGAACTCTCTGGATGGCCGGTGGTACAGTTTCAATGATAGCACGGTGGAGCCACTTCTAGAAGATGAGGTCAGTACCCGAGGGGCTTACATCCTGTTCTATCAGAAGAGGAACAGCATCCCTGCCTGGTCAGCCAGCAGCTCCACGAGAGGTAGGTGCTCCCTGTAGGGCAAGGGGACTGGGATTCACTTTAGGAACTGGGAAGATGCTCCATCAGACATCGAGGTCCAGGAGAGGTCGGCAAGGATCTGCAAGAGGAAGCTCTGGCTGCTGCTCAGAGCTTTGGGCACTACAGGCTAGGATCCCATTTGTAAGGAAGTGGGATGGACATATGGAAATCCAAGAGAGGGGAAGAGAATAATACATATAATGTTTGGTATCTGAGGTGTGTGACTCTTGGCTGATTGGGGTTTTGTATTTCCAGCTCACTCATATCAAGGCAGGTTTTAATTAAGCTTGTGCAATATAAACCTGCATCCGTCCTATTAGAAGAGAGGGGCAGTTATAAGGGACATGGGGCTTTAATAGGAAATATGGCTACTTAACCACACCCCAGCAATACCTTATTAGACAACCTCAAAGTTGCTTTGAGGAGAACAGAGGGTCAAAGTCAACCTTTTTACATTACTGATTTCACTCCGCAAACTAGCCATCCATATTTCTGGGACGACAAAACTTTTTTTTTTTATTACTCAAGAGTTTCTCCTCAATAGTTATTATAAAATGCCCGGATAAAACTAAGATGATTTAGGAGGCCTAAATCAACCTTAATCTGCTTTCCATTTACAGAAGATAGATGTAGAAAGAAGAATAAGAAACAACCATATTTAGAAAACTGGTGACAGGTCATTCAGTGCTCACCAACACACCCCCCTTTCTGTGCCCAAATTCCTTGCCTTGATTTTTTCCGCTTGGTCCTGTGGTTATGAATTGCAGGTTTCTCCTGGTCATTACCAAGTTGATATAATCTAATCCCACTCTGGCTCAGGGCGCAGGGCTGGGCATCTGGCCACGAGAGGCTCCTCTGGGTCCCGAGGGCTGGAGTGGGGTCCAGCCTTCCCTCTGTGCTTCCTCCCCAGGTTCCACCAGCTCCTCCTTATCTGACCACTGGCTGCTCCAGCTAGGGAGCAATAACAGCAGCACGCTGGGAAGCCTGTTGTCCTGGAGCTCTGCCCCCGGCACCTCCCGGCTCCAGGTGCCTGACACCCCTGTCTTCACAAACAGCCTCTCCAGGCAGGAAAAGGGTATGTTTCATCATGTGGGTTAAAGAACCCATGTGTGATTGGTGTGATTAAGAACCCATGACAGCCTGTCGTGGCTGAAGTGTAGTCATGCGAGGGTGAGTAACAAGGTGGGGCTGAGAAGAAGACACTGGAGGCCATGCACAAGAGTTTGCATGTTTTCCAAAGGGCGATGGGAAGTCATTTGATGGTCGTGGGCAGAGGAGTAAAGACATAGTCTAGTTTACAAAGTGAGGTTTGAAAATATTGATTTCATTTTCATTTCTGTAATGACCTTCGTTCCTCATTGTTATGAACGTGCTGGCACTGCATATGACCTTGAGTGTAAAGTGTCAGTCCTTAGGAGAGATTTATTCAAAGATTGGGTCTGCTGTGACCTAGCCCTCACCTACCTCCCCTCCCCCATCCATTGCCCTCCAGCCTCTGGCATGATCTTTCTCTGCTCCCTGGGTGCCGTCTGATGGGGAAGACAGCACTTAAACAAGCCAATGAATATAATGCCATGATGTAAGGCAGGGGTAAGTGCCAAGACACTCAATGTGGCACTCAGACAGGAGTCAGACGCAGCTCCAGAAAACTCCCAAAGAGACAGACTGGGCTGGGGTGGGAGAAAGCAGCAGAACTGCCCTCCAGATGCTTGCAGGCATTTTTCTTATCTAGTCATCATGATCCAGAGGTGAAATTATAGCCCTTTCACAAAGGAGAAAGCCAAGCCCCAGGAGTGACTGGTCCCGAGCTCACGCCTGGAAAGTGGCTGAGGAGCAAATCCACTGGCTCCCCTGGCTGTGGCGTCCTGGCACTGTGCCTCTAAGATGTAATTCGAGTTTCTTCCATTTGGACACTGCAAGAGCCCTACTTCCAGAGGGAGTGTCCAGACCTGGGGTTTGAATGAAATACTGATGGATTAGAAACTTGTTTGAGAAGTTCTTAGGTGGCTCAAAATCCAACCTTATTTTCTTGTAGTACTAAGCCTGAGCAAGACCTAAATCCAGCACATAGGTTCTCACTTATGGTTACTGTTATCTCCTCTCCCCATGGGTATGCGGGAGAAATTTTTCTGCTGTCACAGTGAGCAGAGGGGACTACTGGCATGTAGTCCCCAGGGGGCAGGGACGCTCAGTGTGCTGTGGCGCCCAGGGATGGTGCTGTTCAGTACAGAACTGTCCCTCCCAAGTGCCAGGAGTCCTCCATAGAGGAACTCTGATAGCTTGGGAACATCATCATTCCAGCAGCTCTAGTTACGGGGCATCAGAATTGAGAAGGCATTTTAAACCAAAACCTTGGATACGAGTTTTCTGGGAACTGCAGCTTACATACTTGGGGACAGGTGTTGAGAGAGACTCTGCAAGAGAAAGGATATAAACACCTTACTTGTACAATTTTTATAAAAACGTGACCATGTGAAGAATGGCTAGGATCCTTCACAGAGGCCCCCCTGTCAGTAAGGGGCCCCAGGACTTCAGCTTTTCAGTCAATTTGAGTCAGTTTGTATGCTCCTGATGATAAATGTCCTCTGTGACCTTTTTTCCGGCCTCAAAGGTTTTGTTTTTTACATTTTCAGTGCTTTCCAGATAGTATTTATTTGTTTTGATTTCCTCTTTGCTCTAAAGGATATCTGGGAGCTTTAGTGTTTAAGATTTTTTTGTTCACCCTTATAGCCTTTGTTTCTAATTTTGTGGCTTATGATCCAAGAATGTGGTTTTCAAAAGTTATTCCCTTTATGTGATCAAGTAAGTAGATAATTATTATTTTGTCAGTGCTCTGTGTGTACATAAAATAATGTATACTATGTTTATTTGAGGGATGCGAGCTTTATAACTACCAAATGAAGTGAGTTGATTGCTATATGCAGGTCATTTCTTTAAACTGACCTTATTTAGGACTGCCTGGGTAGAAGAAGGTATATTGAAACCTTCCTGTATAGCCCAGTTTTTTTTTATTAAGTACTCCAGGAGTTTTAATAATTTTTACTATATGTTGTATGTAGGTATTAATATGTCTTGTTTCTGGGTGGAAGTGGATGACTGTTATATCTTCTTTGTAAGTTGTTATAAGTTGTGTCTTTTCTCATTATAATGTTGCTTTTACCCTGCTAACGTTTTTCATCTCCAGTTCTTTGTTGTTCAAGGTGAATAATTAGTCCCCTTCTTCCTTTCCTTTTGTTTGTGTTTGCCTGGTATCATTTTTCCCTTCTCTTTTGCTTTGTGCATCTCTCTTTGAGAGTTTAAGTGGTTTCTGGTAAACAGTATGGTGCAGGAGTTTTTTTTTCACTTTATTTATTTATTTATTTATTTATTTATTTATTTGAGAGGGCATCTCTAATATTTATTGATCAAATGGTTGTTAACAACAATAAAATTCTGTATAGGGGACTCAATGCACAATCATTAATCAACCCGAAGCCTAATTCTCAACAGTTTCCTCTCCTCCCGCCCGGCGCTGGTGTGTGGGGCGTTCGGGTCCCGCTGGGCTGCGGCTTGTATCTTACCCCCTTCGCGAGGCGCTGGGTTCTCCCAGGTGTGGATGTGGTCTGGATGTTGTCCTGTGTCTTCTGGTCTGTCTTTTAGGAAGAGTTGTCTTTAGTGTATTTTCAAAAATATATGTGGTTTTGGGAGGAGATTTCCGCTGCTCTACTCACGCCGCCATCTTGGCTTTGCCTGGAAATAAGAAGATTTTTAAAAATGGATTGTTCATTTTTTCAAGCAAAAAATTGGGACATTAGGTCAAACAGCACTTTTCAATATTTTGAATTGGGGCAGTCCTGGAAAATACGTTTGTTGTATCACAAGGTAGTCCCTGTGCTTTAGGAGCCGAGAGATGAAATGTGTATGCACAGTTAAGTATTTTCTATAAAACAAATAGAAAGTAAAAAGGCCGTCACAAAAGGAAAAAATGAGGGACTGCTGGGGATTTGGTGTGAATCCTTCAGAGCCCCCAGTGCTGGTGAATAACAAACAGAATCTCAGTAACTGTTTTGAGAGAATTCTGGTGAGCTTACCTGCCTCGTGGGTGTGTGTCCTTTGTCACCAGAGCCTTTGTTGTAGGATGTAAAGTACGTGCTGTTCCTGTCCTATAAAGCTCTTCACCAGATATCTACAAGGCTGGCTTCCTCACCTTGTCTGGCACCTTCTGTCCCATTATTCTGCTTTATTTTTCTTCTTAGCCCGTATCAACGCTATGTATTTGCTCTATGCCTTTGTCCCTTCACTAAGCTCCTTGGAAGCAGGGACTTTTGTTCACTGCTATATCCTCCAGGGCCTAGAATAGGGCTCACTACAGAGGAGGACCTTCGTAACTGTTTGTTGAATGTTTTATGAATGAGTGAATACAAACGTGTTATGAGCGGCAGAGTGGTTAGGAGCAAAGGCTCAGGGCCAGACAGCCTTGGTTTGCAGCTGATGGTACCACTTGGGCAAATGGCTCAACGTTTGTGCCTGGTTTCCTCCCATGTGAAATGGACATGGTGACAGCACTCCCTTCCTAGCGTTTTGGGTGGATTGAGTGAGTTATTACAAATGAAGCATTCAGAGTAAAGTCTGGCTCACAGTACCATTCAGCATGTTACTGTTACTGCTACTATCCTCCCTTCCTGTTTGAATTTGTGACTAGAATTAAAAACTCAAAGCTTAGATAATGCAGAAAATTCTTTAAAAGAACCTTAAACATTTTTCTCCCCTTGTGACTCTGATACAGGTTCTCCACATATGATTCTACTTGCCAAATTGCACAAGAGATTGCTGAGAAAATTCAACAGCGGAATAGGTATGAAAGAAATGGTGAAAATACAACCAAGGTAAGCCAGGAGAGAATTAGTACTTGGAAGGATTTGTGTGATCCTTGAGGTCTGCAAACTCTCCCATTTCTGAGGCTTTGTGTGTGTGTGAAGAGTGGTTTGTATATTTATGTGTGTTGTATTGACATCACAACCAACCAGTTAATAGTTACTTAATCACTGAGATTAAATGAAGCATGACATCCGTTTAATTTCTTCAGTTTTTACCTTAGAAGTGTCTAACAGTATTAGAGTCTAGTCAAGGGTACACTTTCCGCAGATAATAAATCTTTTAGGCTTTGTAGGACAAGAGGCAGAGTCCTCACCATTTTAAGTATCTGTTCTCAACCAACAGATAATAGTCTTTATTACATTTTACATGTAAAAATGTAAACAACTTGCAGGCTGTATAAAAACAGTGGTGGGATTTGGCTAGGAAATACATTTTTTAGAAATCATGAGTTCATAGCACTATCTTTGGTTCAAATCCAACACCATGGGTTTCCTTCTGACCTTCCCCCTTCCAAATTAGTATTTTACTTTTTCTGTAGTGAGAACCCAGGTTTCCAAAAACATTGATAGATTTTTGCTCTTTTGGTCTCTCTTATATTTTATAGAAAATAGTTTCAGAATTACTGTACACATACCATTACAACCACTAAGTAAAGTTTAAGTTTGGGTCTTTTTTTTTTAACTTAGAATATCCCATTAAGAATATTGAGGCTATTCTGTTCTAATATTTCTAGAATTGATTCTTTTTTTCCATGTCTCATGCTTTCACTTGTATCTGTTTATATTCATTTTTAGGGTTTGCTTTTTTCCCCTTAACTTGTGATTTAATTTTAAGTATGTAAAATATTTACATTATTTGAAATCAAAATTGTATACATTGGTAAATTGAAAGTCTTGGTTTAATCCCACTCTTTTCCATCCATTCTTCACCTTTTTGCTATAGGTAACCATTTTCATTCATTTCTGATTTATTCTTCCTGTGTTTATTTTTACAGAAGTAAGCATCTTTGTGTGTGTGTGTGTGTATGCGGGTATGTGTGGAAATGACACATGCACATTCTCATTTCTTTTTACACAAAAGATGCTCTTTCTGTATCTTGTTCTTTTTATTTAATACTATATTGTAGAGGTCTCTCCATATTAAGTCACTGAGATCTTCACTGTTCTTCTTTAGGGCTGTATAGTACTCTGATATGTAGATGTTCCATAGTTCATTTAATCTCTCTCCCAAGGATGAGCATTTAGTTTCCAGCCTTTTACTGTTATGAATGATGCTATAATAAATAGCCTTGTTCTTATTTTTTTCCTTTGTATTTGTGGAGGTATCTTTTAAGGATGAGTTCTCAGAACCGGGGCATATGATATTTTTGCTGTTGCCAAATTCCCCTCCACAGGTGTAGTCACCTTTGTCACTCCCACCAGCAGTGCACAAGAGTTTCTGTTTCTTCACAGGCTGACCAACACTGTCAATCTTCTGAATTTTTGTCAATCTGATAATTGAGATAGAATATTTCTGTGTAGTTTTAAATTTCATTTTTCATATTGTGAATCAAATGAAGTATGTGTCCACATGGTTAATAGTTAAGCACTATTTATATTTTTTTTTCTGTGAGCTTCTTGTTTTTGCCCATATTTCTGTTGGATTGTTGTTTTTTTTTTTGTCTTTAATAGCTCTTTGCATATTGGGGAGAAGGGTTATTTGTGACATATTGTACTTGTCTCCTTTCCTTTATCCTTTATTTATGGTCATCATAAAACCTATGGTCATCTGTCAAGTGAAAGCTTTGGTTTTACTAAATGGTGTTGACTATCAGTGTTTAACTCCTGTATTTTCACTCATAGCTTTTGCTATTTTGGATTATAAATGAATTTATTCCTGTTTTCTTCTAGTAAATGTACGGTTTCACTTTTTACATTTAGATCTCTGACCCATTTAACCAGTATCATCTTGGATCGTTAGATTATTTCTAATTGTAAATGAGTTTTGAGTGTGGCTAAATAATTGCCCATGTTAGAATTAATTCCTCAAGCTAGACTTTCTAGATTTAAGTTGTATAAAATTTTAAGTCCTTTGAACATATATGTGTGTGTGCATGTATTGCAGAATTGTGGTTCTACACCAATTATGATTATCATAAAAATCTCTGGTGAAAGTATACAGTGGTGTATTATGCACCTTTTTATTACTTATGCCATTGAACATGTTTTCATATATTTATTGGATATTTACATTTCTTCCTTTATGAATTTCCTGTGTATGTATGTCCTTTAATCTAATTTATTATTTCTTAACATCAAGGTATTCTTTATAAATATGTTAAGTATAGTAAGTTTGGTACAAATATTTTTTTCTATTAATTTGGCCTTTGAATAAATTACATTTTCTTTTTGACATGCACTTGTCTTTAAATTTTATTTGAAATTATTGGCATTTTTATTTGTGGTCTTTTCCTGTAGGGAGAGGGAAAATAACACTTAGAAAGGCCTTTCACATCCAGAAAATACATAAATGTTTTACCTAATTATCTAAATTTTCTTTACACTTTTCTTCTGTTTCTTTTTTAATGTGTAAATCTTTAAAATATTTGAAGTTTACTTTGGCATTTTGTAGGCATCTTCTTTTATTTTTTCCCATTTGCTTAATCAGTATTTCCCTTACCCCTCAGGAAATGAAATATCCTGTGTTTCAGTTGTTGAGTTTTTGCACAACTGCACTGTTTCTGGATCTTTTGTTCTTTTGCACTGTTGACACTTTTCCAACTGCCAACATCATTGTCTTGTAGCTTTTATAAGACTTAATACATGATTGTTTCAGTCCCCCTTTGTTACATATATTCCTGGTTTTTCTGTAATCCTTCAGTCTTCCTTCTTTTAGAGTAATTTTGCATAGCTGTATTAAAAAGATTTTGTGCTCTGCCTGAATTACCAACTCTTCTCCAGTAAAAGAACCCCAAATGGGATTTTGAACAGATATGTAGTATATTTATAGATTGAACTGAAAGGCATTTACGTTTTTAGAATATTGAGCATTTCCTTTTACTCATTAGTTCAGCAGTACTTACTGCACAGTTACTATGTCCCAGGTACTGTGTTAGATATTTTCAGATTTTGTCGACACTGTTAATAACATTTAACAATACTAATTTAAAAAATTACTTCTCCCTAGCTATGACATAAATTTAGGAATGCCCTTGTTTTTTTTTTTTAATTTTATGATTGATCACCTTAATTGACTTCTTTTCCTGTTTCTAGTAATCTTTCAGTTGATTCTCCTAACTTTTCCAATTAGACTATTATCAATCTGCAAATAAGAATTTCATCTCCTTCTTTCCAGTCTTTATGTATTTCTTTAGTGGGTCTGAAAGCGTTGGTTAGAACTTCTAGACTGAAGTTAAGTAATGTTGCATTTAAGGCACTACTGTTCCAGTCTGTTTCCTTTCTTTGTTTTTGTTTTGTGTCTAATTTATTTCCCCCATGTTGTATTAATCATATGTTTATCCCATTTTGAATCATTAACATTATATAATGCTTTATTATTAAATTTCCTAACATCAAACTGTTCTTAAATTACTAGGATAGATCCTACTTGGTGATGGTATATTATCATTTTTAATGTAATTCTGAATTTGCTTTGCTTGTATTTTTTAAAGACATATTTGTGATCCTTGAGGGAGATGGACATGTGGTTTCCTTTTGTCCATTATCTCTATAAGTGTTTGTTACTAGGTTGTCTTAGCTTAAAATATGTTAGGCTTTCCATCTTTTTCTGTGATTTAGAAAGTTTCTGTTAAATTTTGATAATGGGAACTTTTTCTTGATTATACAAGTAGTCATTTTCTTATAAAATACTAAGAAGTCCTGCTACTTAGAAATAACTGCTCTTGGCATTTTGATGTATTTGTATCCTAGATAATTTTTCTCCATGTGGATGACATTTTGTTTTCTGACTTCATTTTTTTTCTTTTAAAAAATTACAATGGATATCTTTCTCTGTTAACAAATTTAGATGTCAGTCACACTTTTTAGTGGCTGTGTACATTCATCTCTTGAGCTCTTTTGGCCTTTAATTTTGAGACCTCTTCTTAGTCCTGGAGTATATGTGTATTGTGATTTGTTTGTTTGTTTGTTTTGTTCTTTACTTTTTGAGTGAGGAGAAATCTGCTTTCCTTGGCTTTTCTCCATAAACACTGTGGGTGGTTTTTCCATGGCTCCCAGAGGTATTAGAATAGTTAAGGTTAGACTTTTCTTGGCTGCTGATACCTTTGAGTGTTGCTTGATGTGTGCAGCCCTGGGCCAGCTTCTGCTGTTCTGTTTTTTCCTGACTGTGACCCTGCTAATTGAAGGAGGGAACCCTAGCTTCCACTCTAGTTGTATAATTGCTGCTTTTAACAAGGTAGCAAATAAAATCTGTGGTAGTCTTTTTTAAAAACATATCTCTGATTTCATCCATGGTGGACTATGTTTAATTTACAAAGGCAATTTTATTTTTCATATTTAAATTCCTGAGACGCTCTCTCCCTACCCCTTCTCCACCCTTCAAGAGTACATTTAGAGTCACAAGCAGAATTTCCTCCGGGTCTGTAGAATGCTTGGAGAAAATTCATATACTCTTGGAGAAAAGAGTTATGTGTGGTTAACATTCCTCTTGTATAAAAAGAACACACCGCTATAAAACGTCTACATGGGTTTTAAGTATAACAGTGTGTTTAGAGAAGACTGGCTGTGATGGCGGTGGGACTTGGCATCTTCTTGTTATTTGAAGCATGGTTGAGGGAACTGTAGGGTTTTCACTGGTGAACAAAGACTGGGGGACACAAATTTCCTGCATGGCCCCAAGGCAGACAAATAGGATTGGAAGGTTGATGCTCAGGGGAGAGAATGCAGCTGACTGAGGACAAAGTGGCATTTTCCAATCAGTGTCTGTTCAGGTATGGACCGGCTGGCTTATCACCTGGTTAGGTTGTGGAGTGGGTGCAAGCATTAGGATGGTGGCTGAACCAGGCAACAGTTAGGATTCCTCACAACCTGAGGTTGTCATTGGAGGCTAAGTGTCTCTTCCAGCCTGTCCTTGGTGGAATCACAGAATGGAAAGTAGTGTTTACATGATCTTTTAAATAGATTCTATCCCTCTGGACCAGCATACTTTGGATGTGTTCTTTTCTTTTCAGCTTACCGTGACAATCAGAGCTTTGTTGCAGAATCTGAAGGGAAAGATCACCCTTTTGAAGGACTTATTGCTAAAAGCTGTGTCAACACATTAGATGTATCCATGTAAACATTTCCACTTCTTTTCTAGAGTGGGAGGAAAAGCAGTCTTATTTTAAGAAAGGAAGGAATCTGGGCCACCCAGATTTTTCCACAGCATGAGGAAGACCTGGTTTCCAAAATATTGCCTGTAATCTTGATTTCTATTTTAAGTGTCTGTTCCATGTTTTGCAGTGAATATGCTGGTGAAGCAAGACATACTGAAGGAATTAACGTATTTGGGTGTAACCTTCGCAGTGCAGGGGGCTCATGCTGTCAGTGCTCTGTTTACACAGAGCCCTGCATTGCCACCTGTCCAGGCTGCCTGGAGAGGTTAGCCACTGTTCCAACAGGAAAACTTCCATGATAATCTTGAGCTGTGTTTCTGCTTCTGGGGTTTCCAGAGTTTTGAGTGATCCATTTTCTTTTCCAAGAGGTCAATACCTATAGAAACCACACATCTTTTTTTTTTCCTGTTTATGTGGAATATTGAGATGTGAATTGTTTGCCCTATTATTCCAGAAGTACAGACACTGCCCCTGGTCGGGATTTTTGGTGGGGGCATTGCCTGAAGCAAGGTGTGCCATCACTTAACTTCCCACCAACACTGTCAAGTGTTGAAATATTTTCTTTCTTTTTTTTAGAAATTTGCACATCTTATCAATTAGGAAAATACATGTGACCTGTTACCTGAACTGATTCTCTAAACCTGAGTTTATATTGGTTTGAAAACTGACCTCAAACTGGTCCTTTCTCATCATTTCTTTAAACTGTCAGAGGTTCATACCCAAAACCCAATTTTGTCATCTTAAGAAATGGTTGTTACTACCTGATTTCAAATAGGGGAAAATTTTATCTTTAGATAAAATATTAGAAAATGTTTTAAAGAATCTTTTCTCCAAGGATAATCCCCTTATATCACTAGGGAGGTTCATTTGGTTTAGTTGTGTGATTTTTCAGATACTCAATTATTAGCCCACTAAGGTTTCAAATAAAATATATTAATTCCAATAAACAATTAGGGACTTATTTTGACATAACTGAAATATTGTGATACATTTAGTTTGTAACTTCACTCTCCACCTGATATTATTTATTACTGTACAGTATTGTAAGGAGAGTTTTTATTTTATCAAATCAACAAGTCTTAATATATACACTTCAAATAGTTTCAGATTGCAGGGCTGCTTTCTCCACTGTCAGTATTAGGTATTAGGAAGTCTGCACATGAGGTCAAGGTGTGCAGACTCATTTTACTGTTACCCAAAACACATATATTAAAAACGTAACAAAATATTGGTTCATGATATTAACAACTGTGTATCTGCTGATTTTCATTAAGGTGGGTCAGAGAATTCAGCTGACTGAGGACAAAGTGGCATTTTCCAATCAGTGTCTGTTCAGGCATGGACTGGCTGGCTTATCACCTGGTTAGGTTGTGGAGTGGGTGCAAGCATTAGGATGGTGGCTGAACCAGGCAACAGTTAGGATTCCTCACAACCTGAGGTTGTCATTGGAGGCTAAGTGTCTCTTCCAGCCTGTCCTTGGTGGAATCACAGAATGGAAAGTAGTATTTACATGATCTTTTAAATAGATTCTATACCTCTGGACTTGGGATGTGTTCTTTTCTTATCAGCTTACCATGACAATCAGAGCTTTGTTGCAGAATCTGAAGGAAAAGATCGCCTTTTTGAAGGACTTATTGCTAAGAGCTGTGTCAACACATTAGATGTATCCATGTAAACATTTTCACTTCTTTTCTAGAGTGGGAGGAAAAGCAGTCTTATTTTAAGAAAGGAAGGAATCTGGGCCACCTAGATTTTTCCACAGCTTGAGGAAGACCTGGTTTCCAAAATATTTCCTATAATCATGATTTCTATTTTAAGTGTCTGTTACATGTTTTGCAGTGAATATGCTGGCGAAACAAGACATACTGAAGGAATTAATGTATTTGGGTGTAACCTTTGCCGTGCAGGGAACTCATGCTTTCTGTCAGTGCTCTGTTTACACAGAGCCCTGCATTGCCACCTGTCCAGACTGCCTGGAGAGGTTAGCCACTGTTCCAACAGGAAAACTTCCATGATAATCTTGAGCTGTGATTCTGCTTCTGAGGTTTCCAGAGTTTTGAGTGATCCATTTTCTTTTCCGAGAGGTCAGTACCTATAGAAATCATACATCTTTTTTTTCCTGTTTATGTGGAATATTGAGATGTGACTTGTTTGCCCTGTTATTCCAGAAGTACAGACACTGCCCCTGGTCGGGATTTTTGGTGGGGGCATTGCTGAAGCAAGGTGTGCCATCACTTAACTTCCCACCAACACTGTCAAGTGTTGAAATATTTTCTTTCTTTTTTTTAGATATTCGCCCATCTTATCAATTAGGAAAATACATGTGACCTGTTACCTGAACTGATTCTTTAAACCTGAGTTTATATTGGTTTAAAACTGACCTAAAACTGTTCCTTTCTCATCATTTCTTTAAACTGTCAGAGGTTCATACCCAAAACCCAATTTTGTCATCTTAAGAAATGGTTGTTACTACCTGATTTCAAATAGGGGAAATTGAGGGAATACAGCTCTTTAGATAAAAACCATAGAAAATGTTTTAAAGAATGTTTTCTCCAAGGATAATCCCCTTATATCACTAGGGAGGTTCATTTGGATTAGTTGTGTGATTTTTCAGATACTAAATTATTAGCCCACTAAGGTTTCAAATAAAATATTAATTCCAATAAACAATTAGGGACTTATTTTGACATAACTGAAATATTGTGATACATTTAGTTTGTAACTTCACTCTCCACCTGATATTTATTACTGTACAGTATTGTAAGAAGAGTTTTTATTTTACCAAATCAACAAGTCTTACTATATACACTTCAAATAGTTTCAGATTGGCAGGGCTATTTTCTCCACTGTCAGTACTAGGTATTAGGAAGTCTGCACATGAGGTCAAGGTGTGCCGACTCATTTTACTGTTACCCAAAACAGATATATTAAAAATGTAACAAAATATTGGTTCATTATATTAACAACTGTGTATCTGCTGATTTCCATTAAGGTGGGTCATTATTCATCTTACAGTATTTATGTGCCAAACCTATAGGACAAGAAAAATAAAAATTAAGAACTTTAACTTTTTCCTATCAATAATTTTTGCTAGTTATTAATTATAGAGTACTAAGCATGCTACAGTAATAATTGACTTTATTCATCTAAATGCTGGCAGACTGACCATCTTTTGAAATCTCATAGACTTTGGTTTTGTGGTAATGTCAGAACTTGCTGAGTTAAACACTAAGCATGAAAAAATACTAAACAGAGTTATTAAATACTTCATGAAAATATTTAAGGACATTAGTGTGGGTAATTTAGAATTTCCTAGGAGAAATAAAAAAAATTCAACAGGAATATAACAACTTTCTTTAAAATCCTATGTATTTTTAAAAGTAATTGTGTCTGTTTCTGTGGGAACTGACACCAAAACTAAGGATAGAATTCAGACAGTATATCCCCATGGCTCAAAATGTCTGTATTTTCAGGGAGATCATTCTTTTGATAGAATGGAGCAAAGGAGGTAGTTTGTATATTAGGAAGGCCTCTTTTAAATTCTGTTTCCGCATCTTACTTACCCCTGACCTTCCTCTTCCAAATATTTTAAATAATTCTATCACAGTTGTCCTGTGGATGTAAGATATCTGATGTTTTATTTGGGTGTAACCTGTGAGTCCTAATATCCTCATATTATTAGTTTTGATGGTTCCTTCCCTTCTTTAGAAACAACGTATTGAGGCCAGGTCAAACTCTGCCCTCCACGTCACAGATGAAGCTGCAAAGAGAATCAACATTCCAGCAGAGGAGTTTTTTACACTGAGGAGAGGAATCTGAGAGCTTGCCCTGGACCTCACAGCTGGGCAATGGAAGAGCTAAGATTCAAACACAGGGCTGTCTGCCCCAAAAGCCAGTTTTTTAAAAACTGAATTCTACCTTAGTAGAAATGTTACAGTTAACCGTCACCTGGCATGTCTTCAAACTAGAATTCCTTATTAATAGGCATGTTGCTGTAGTGCCAAGACAAATCCTCAAGAACCTTCTTAATCATCAGAAAGATTAAACAGTGTTCACTGTGGTTTATTAGGTACACTTTATGATGTTGTAATTCTGAGAAAAATTTCTGTCTATAAATCACCAACAGAGTGACATTTTAATCCTTTTTTTGAGGCATAATTAATGTTGGGTGACTTTTTTAGTGTGAGTATTTGAATACCACATTTCCTAACTGTATCAGGTAGTTGAGAGTTTATGGTACTTTACTTGATAAATTTATGCATTCATGAAGTTTTCCAAAGAACACTAGGGCTTGCCAGAAAGATAAGTCCTATGAAAATGCCTTCCAAGCAGTTAAATTCATGGAGTTTAGACATAAGATGTTATTGCTCTTTTCTGAAAAAGTATTTTTCTCTTGGCAAGAATAATTGTGAAATTAAAGGTCTGTGCTTTTGAATAGGTTTCGTTTGCAATTCATAAACCAAAGTCCTGCAGTCTCTGTTTAAAATTGCTGAAAAACGTTGACTTCTATTCACAGTGCTTCTTGGAGATAGGAATTATAATTGCCTCCCCAGCTGAGGAAAAGGTGTGCACTACAGGGGCTCCCTGTGAAATTTCAGGTTGTACTAAAATTATTCTTAGAGTTGGTCTTACAGAAAGCTTGTATTTTGGTAGGTTTTCAAGGGCAGCATCTTTACTACTTTAAAGAGAATAAAAAATCTCTTTACAAAAGGGTTCAGTATAAAAAGGTATTTTGGTGTCTCGGGAGAATTCCTACAGAATAATTTTTAAAGATCTATAAGTAACTTTACCCCACTTTCTATGTTCGGGGATAAAAGGCAGGTGGGTGGAGAAATGCAGTGATACCAAGCCTGATAACAAGCCTGAATGGAAGCAGGTGTGGAGAGGCTAACTGAA